TTGATTTGGTTTGACTAATACGCTTTTCCTTAATGATTCTTCCAGCTAGTAGTATCAGTTTAGAGCTGTGTGAGTGATTATTAAATTGAAAGTGTGTATTTTGGGGGGTTTACTTTTAAACAAGTGAAATTACTGACACATAGGAGTAGGGGTTTTTTCAATCTGTATGAAAGTGTTTGGTGAACAAGAAGCTTACTGGTACAGTAATATGTGATCTTTTTCACTATTACTCTTTTTATGTTGAATTAAAATCCAAAGCTTAAATCATGGATTCTAAATAATTGTTGGAGTCATTTCTGTAAGGACGTTTTAAAGAACAGATGTTTTAGTTTTAAAGAACTCTCCTGTCTCTTTGCTTGTTCAGAATATATAATGGTTTTAATTCAGTCAGCTATCTCTGCACCACCTTAAATTACTGTTTGGACTCCTTGAAGAAGATTACGTACGTATGTGGTTTGTGTGTGCGAGGAAGAGGGCTGTGTGTATGTTGAACTTATTTTTTTTTCCTGATGTATTTTGTACTTATTGCGTAATAGGACCTTCATGTATTCTATAAATCCCTTGATGTAAGGGGAAATACAGAGATTTTGTGCAATTGCAAGCTCCAATACAAATTATGCAAAGTAATTTCATGATAACTTCCATAGTGAGAAGTACCATGGTCCTTCCCCAGAAGTCATAAAACCTGTTTTCTTATTGTGGCTTCTAGCTTATGAATTCTTAAACCATGATAGTGAGCTACATGACATCTGTATTAAAGGAGATAAATTTCCAGGTCCGTGAAACTGTAAGGTAATACAGTGGTGAAGTGCATGTGTTTGAGGTGGTTTCTGTCCAAACAAAGAATGTTGTGTCAATTTGTAAATGGCTTTACCCACACACTGGAGTCCTGGAAATGCTTCCTGCTTAAGTGTTAGCTGCTCTCAGAGCCTCAGAAGAAAATGCTCCTCCCCAACATGAATACATGAATGAAGATGTTACTTCAATAGATAAACATGATTTGTTATCTATTGGCATGTGGGGGGGTGAGGAGGGTGGCATTATTGTTCTAGAAACAACATGGTTTGAGTAAAAGTCAGAGGCTAATTTTCTTTCCATAACTCTAAATAGGGATCAATAAGTTAAAAGGAAAAATATTTAATGAGTTTAGGCTTTATTGTAGACCAAGCTTGGACAAAAACAGAGATGGGCTCTTTTTGGATATTGAATAATAATGGTTACTTTGGGAGATGCTGGAGAGGCAGTTGTCTCCTCTGGTTTCAACAGGGTGTGGGAGGGGGTAATTTTCTTTTTTTCTATTTCTTTTTTTAATGTCCAATAGGAACATTTCCTTTCTTGATGAGGTGGAAAAAATTTCCAAGTACTATTTGTAATGCAAATATTTTTTATTATTTCAGTATTCTACAGGGAAGTAAATGGCATTGCTGGAATTGTTGTCTTCACTACTTATTTTTGTATTATAAACTTCTGCTGTAGCTATTTTGGGGTGATACAATCATGACCATAAAATTAAAACATATTAAGGACAGGATAGCTGCACACAAATTTGGATTTGTTGGTAATTTGTACACATGAAAATTCAGTTTACATTGCCAGGTGTGAAGCTATATTCTCTTAAAAATAAGTGATGTTGGACATATATTTGGATGGGGGAAGAGAGGTGGTGAGGTATCTAGAAAGCAGCAAATCTGAAGAGTAGAGGGGTACGGGGTGGGTGTGCCCGGGGGCTGGCGGGCGGGGGCTGTGAGGGGAGGCCGGGGCCGCCCCGGGCCGGACACAGCCGGTTCCAGCTGGCTCCAACCCACCCACCGCAGGGCACGGGTGGGCCCCGCGGCCGCGGGGAGGGAGGGCAGAACGGTGCCCGGCTGGGAGGGGAGAAGGGTGAGGAACGGCCCTGGGAGCTCCAGGGGGAGAGGGGGAGGATCCTCTGCAGCCCTTGGAGAAACCACAATGGAGCAGGTATTGCCTTGACGCCTGTAGGAGGACCACACTGGAGAAGATACCCACACTGCTGCCCATGGAGGATCCCACACTGGAGCAAATAGCTATACTTTGAAGGAAGGTGAAGTGTATGGAGGATCCATGTTGGAGCAGGCTCCTGACAGTAACTGTGGCCCATGGAGAGGAGCCCACGCTGGAGCAGGGGAAATGTGTGTGGAGGAAGGAGCGGCAGAGAGGAGCTGCTATGGGCTGACCACAGCCCCCAGTCCCCACAACCCCTGCACTTACTCTGTTTTTAATTGGAAATAAATTCAATTAATTTTCCCAAAGTTGAGTCTGTTTTGCCTGTAGTGGTAATTGCTAAGAGATCTCCCTGTCTTTCTCTTGACCCCTGAGCTTTTAAATTTTATTTTCTCCCCTGTCATGTTGATGAGGGGAAGTGAGAGAACATCTGGGTGGGTGTCTGGTAACTGGCCAAGGTCAACTCACCACAACAGGATACAGGGAATGAGTAATTGAACTTTTGCTACAGCACCTGGGACTCAAAACCCTGTTCTGTCTGTTGCTTCAAGAATCACAGGGGCAATGGTTATAGACACTGCTAGAACCTCAGTCTGTATTTTTAAAGGATGCTGAATAAAACCTAGAAGATTATGGAGGGAAAGGGCTGTAGGAGCAATTTGGATGGAGAATTCCCTCTGTAGTGCCAGATTTGAACAATAAGGAGTGATCTTTTAATTGAGAAGAAAACCATGACGGTGCATGGGAGCAGTACTGTTTAATATCTTGATGACATATTGGGATCAAGTGTATCCTCACCAAGTTTGAAGATGACACCAAGCTGAGCGGTGAGGTTGACATACCTGAGGGATGGGATGCCATTCAGAGGGGCCTGGACAAGCTAAAAAAGTAAGTCTGTGAACCTCATGGGGTTCAACAAGCCAAGTGCCAAGGTCCTGCACCTAGGTCAGGGCAACCCCTCATGTCAATAAAGGCTGGGAGATTGAAGGGATTGAGAGCAGCCATGCATAGAAGGACTTGAGGGTACTGGTGGATGAAAAGCTGGACAATAAGCCAGCAGCCCAGAAAGCTATCTGTATCCTGGGTTGCATCAAAAGAAGCATGGCCAGCAGGTCAAGGGAGGTGATTCTCCCCCTCTACACTGTTCTACTGAGACCTCACCTGGAGTGCAGTGTTTAGCTCTGGAGTCTTTAGCACAGGAAAGACATGAACCTGTCAGAGCGGGTGCAGAGGAGGGCCACAAAAAGGGTCAGAGGTATGGAACACCTCTCCTGTGAAGAAAGGCTGAGAGAGTTGGGCTTGTTCAGCCTGGAGAAGAGAGGGGCTCTGAGGAGACCTTATAGCAGCCTTTCAGTACTTAAAGGGGGCTACAAGAAAGGTGGGGATGGACTGTCAGGGAGTGTAGTTACAGGACAAGGGGTAATGGTTTTAAACTAAAAGAGGATAGATTTATATTGGATATAAGGAAGAAATTTTTTTACAGTGAGGGTGGTGGGACACTGGAACAGGTTGCCCCTGGAGGTGGTAGATGCCCCATTCCTGGAAGCATTGAAGGTCAGGCTGGACAGGGCTCTCGGCAACCTGATCTAGTTAAAGATGTCCCTGCTCATTGCAGGGGGATTGGGACTAGATGGTATTTAAGGTCCCTTCCAAACCAATTCATTCTATGATTCTATGATGGTACCTTCATACAAAGAAAATAGCATGCTAACTCAGAGCTGTGAGAACCCATAGCTGAAAGCCCAAATGGACTCACTCAAGTGAGAAATGAGGCATGTGTTTCAACAGAAGTAATCAACTGTCAAATAAACCAAATAAAAAGTAAAAGATTCTTGATCTGTTTGTGTCTTCCAATCAAGACCACATATCCATCTGCTAGTTTGTGTGCAACTCTTCACCAGGTAGGGAAAAGAGAAATTAATTCTTTGTGGATCAACATAGGATGTCTGTAAGAGTTAAATATCAAGATTAGACTAAAAGAAGTAAAACAAGACTAGTTTCTGTCAATCAAAAGAATACTATGCTCTTAAACAAGCCATGTTTCTAAATCTTGTTGATGGGGAGAGGGGCTCAGTTCTTGTTCATACCCTCTGTAGCAATAGTTAAGTTGTCTGATGCAGATGGAGGAAATGGACTGCATTAGGAGTGTCCATACTGTCTTCAAACTGGTCCTAAACCCAAGGGAACTTGACTTTTTTTGGGGAAAAAAAAAAGTTAACGTGAACTTGTGTGAGGAACTGTATCTGTTCTTCAGCACTTGGTAGACTTGTAGCCTGCCATGGAGTAATCGGAATAACTGTAACTGACTCTTGGGGCTTGCAGGAATGCTTCTTAATCATGAGGGAATAAGGTGGAGTCCTTTCTTAGGAGGAGAGTAGCTCTTAAGAGAGGACGTGTAGTGGGGTGGTGCTGTGGGGGTTGATTTAGGGCTATTGGTTGTTTCACTTATTTTGTCTGGAATTTCACTATTCTTGATAAGAGATATGCAAGAATGTACAGGGTTTTTTCTATCTTTGATATAAAACTATAGAAATGTCGACTAATGTTTTCCTTCTCATTTCAACAAGTATTTGAGTAATTGGCAAATTATTGCACACATTTTTTTTACCTTGTAGAAGCTGTACATGGTATTCATCAGTAAACATGCCTGCCTTGTAATAGGAATACAATGGAAAATACACTTACAGATTAATACAAGTCTCCCCCAATTAGAAACAGACTGAGACATTACCCCAGTATAAAACAATGCCTACTGTTTATATAGAACTTCTCACATGTAAATATTATCATTCTATTGTAAAAGAGAAATATTACTATTTTTCACAAATGCCAAGGGCATGGAGAGGAAAAGATGAGTTGTTCAAGGCCACCTACATGGCCAGCTCTGGTCTAGCTCTTAGTCTTATGCTCTGTCTAGTAGACAATATCTAATCTGTCCAGTGTAAGGATGTCTCAAATACACTGCTTGTAGCTGCTGAAGCACATATGAAATACAAGTGTATTTTGCTGAATTGTCTTTCTTTTCTGTTCCCTTGCAGATCATAAAGTAACTGGAATTTCCATTGAAACGGATAACAAAAATGTAAAAGCAGAGGAGTTTAAGGGTACAGTATGGGCATTGCTGTGATTGTTTTTAATATATACACAATGCATGCAAACTATGTATAAAGAAGCTGTACGTCTGTTAAGATTGTCTTCCTCTTTCCTGAGGGGTCCTACTTTCTCCACTGACTCTTTGTGTAATCTTTCTCTTGTCCCGATTTTCTCTTACTTGATGTGGAATTGGACTGGATGTTCCCCCGGGGTTCTTATCACTCTCGCCTAATCTGTGACTGTCTGACTTGTTTGTCAGTCCTAGTAGCTCATTCTGTAACTTCTGCCTGGTTTCCTTCCACCCAAAATGATGGGAAAAGATAGAAAGGAGAAGCATTAATTATCTTACAAGACAGAGAATTGAAGGATTAGAGGGAACAACTATAAGTCAGCTAATTGTCAGTAACTATAACTTAATGGCTCTTTTTAATTGTCAGTAACTATAATGGCTGTTTACATATTTATATATGTATGTGTCATCTGTAAAAGCACAATTGACTTCCAGTAATGTGCTAGAGAAGTTAAGGAGGTTGGGAGGAAAACCTGTTGTTTGCTGGGTAGATGAGAAAGGGATCCTAGTGGTGTGTATTTGAGACTTGTGGGTTATGTGGAGGGTATTTTGCTTGGTTGATCGGCTTTTGCATTTGGTTTGAATGGAGAGAGATACGAATTTGGGAATTGGAAGAACTCTGTGCTGGGCTTTAGGCTTTATTCATCTGTTTGAGGTAGTAATCAAATATTTTGGAGATCTCTAAAGCTGTCAGCTGGGCTCCTGTCAAGTATTCTTGTCACTTTTGGGGAAGAAAAACTTAATACATTTAGAGCTCGGGACAGACAAGAGGAGAGAGAAACCCTTCAGGTAATATTAAAGCTTAATTAGGTTCTGTCTTTTTATATAATATATGGCTTGCATTTCGTTCTTTTGTTATTTGTACGATAAAATGAGATCAGTTTACCATGGCTCAGATGCCACACCGAGTTCTTTTTGTGTGGCAGTACGAAGGGAGTGGCAGGGGCTGATAAATGTAGCTATTCAACTGAATGCAGCCATCTGAAATGCATTTTTATTTTCTCCTCCAACTCCTCTTACTGCAGAGGAGAGTGGTTGGTCACTGGAACAGGCTCCCCAGGGAAGTGATCGTGGCACCAAGCCTTTCAAGAGTTCAAGGAGTGTCTGAACGTTGCTCTTTGTTTTAGATAGTCCTGCAAGGAGCAGGGAGTTGGACTTGATGATCGTTATGGATCCCTTCCAACTTGAGATATTTTATGGTTCCGTAACCAAATGATAGCCTCCAGACCAGATGTAAATCCAAATTAAACATTGTCCAGACCTCTCCAAGATCCCAGAAGGTTCTTCCAGGCCTGGCAGTGTGTGTGTTGATGCACAGAGCATCCTGTGGGCTGACCTTAATGCAAGTCACATAGACCTGTTCTGAAAAATATCTGCTGACTCCATTAGTATTGGAGAAAATGGGAGGGGAACTATAACTAAGGAGGGATTTATTATTTTCTCTGTTCTGTGTGCTCTCCCTTTCTTCCATTCTGTTCTATTTCTCTGAATAATATTAGAGGGAGGGCATCCATGCTAGCTTTTTCTGAAATGAAAAAAATGTGGCATGCAAGAAAGGGGCAGCTCATTCAAGACAGAGGTGACTTGTTCAGCTGAGAACATGTCAGCTGAGCTGTCTCTGTCAACTAAAGTAGACCAGCTCATGAGACTAGCCAACTGTCACAAGGTCAGTAGCAAAAGCAAGCTGAGCTTGAATGATGACTTTTCTTCGTTAGAAGGATACAAAAACAAAATGAAAAGGAAACTTTAGCAAATCTTAAGATTCAGGAAGCCTCCACCCATCCACTCAACCTGAAGTCAGGAACTTTGGGCTTCCTGAGTGCACAGCATGTTTTTTGAAGCAATCAGAGTGTGTGTGTAACGTGTTTCTGGCAAAGAATGCCCTCCTGCCGCAATTCTTCTTTCAAGTCTGGATGTTTTTTTCCCTATGAGAGATCACCAAGGCTACCAGTCTGGCCCCTTGGAAGCTTTTTGTTTCTCTGCAGAACAGACCTGGGAAATCAGAATCTAAAGGGTGAGTGGGTAGATCTGTCAGTAGCTCTTATTTGCCCTTCAGACTTGTTTGCCGAGACTGGAAACGAGGGTGCCAGTTAATGGAGATTGACTGTGTGTTTGGGTAGTGTATGTTTGTCTCTTGAAAGCTAGACAGTCATTGCCAAAACTATAAAAGTTTTTGATCCTTGAAACTCCGGTTTATATTGGAAGATGAACAACCTAAAGGTGGCAAGATTATTATTGTATTTGTTTCTTTTACAGAAGTTTCTGGGAGATACTCAATTTTACTTTATTAGATTTGGAGCCAGTCAGATGTATGGTTGGATTCTTTCTCTGATGTTGTCTCCCAACAATTCTTATTAATACCTTGACTTAAGAGTTATTTACTGGGGAAAAAAAGTATATATATATATTTCAGCATGCTGTTCCATGGAGAATGAAACTACTGAGACACTGAGTTTGTCCCAGTAACTCACTGATACAGTTTGTTATGTCTTCTCCCTCTTTAGTTCCCCCATAATAACTATAGGCTTGACCACAGACCACAATTACTATGATGCAGCTATATGTTAGTGATGTCATATGCTGATGCCCTGCTGTGAGGGAGGAAAAAAAGAACAGTTGAGCTCCCAGTATGACCTGTTTCTCATTGGGAACATTAATTTTGGTTTGTTTTGTACCCAGTTATGGCAACTTCAGCAATAATCACTCTTGGAATCTCAGCCTCCCTGTGAAATTTGGTTGGTGATGCCCACTATGCATAAGTCAGGGAAACCTGAGTGGATAGACAGAAAGATGAACAATTGTATGAACCTTATTTTATTGAGAACTCAAGAAAAATAAGAGGTAACCGCCACGGGATGTTAGGAGCAGCCTCTGCCACGAGCAGCTCCAGGAGCCTGGGGGTTCCTCCTGACCAGCCCGACGTGCCTGGAGACCTGGGGGTCGTTGTCCCAGGATGATGGACACTGCTGCTTTCCCATTTGCAGGTTCAACCAGTAGCAAGGCTGTGTGTGTCCCAGGGATGCATGTGTGTGTGCGCACACCCACACATACATGTAGATACACACTCATGACACTGACACTGCCAGTACACAGACAGCCACAGACAAGGCACTGCCTTCAACAGCACCCACTTATAACGCTGCCTGGGCTCATGTAAAGTATTGTAGGTATAGACAGGTGAGCCTCCTCTTTGGCTGGTGGAGATGGAAGTTCAGTGGTGAAAGCCCTCATACAACACTTTCTAGATTCACAAGCAGATGCACTTTCTTGCATGCCCTGGACACCAGCACAGCCTCTCTGCCCATCTGCTAGCTCTCCCAGCTTGAGGTTCACTCATGAATTACACGCACACCTCCAGGCACACACCCAGTTTAGGGAAGATGCAAACACTGCACACACTCCACACACCCCTGCAGCCAGAAGCCAGCACCACAAGCCCAGGGGTGCCTGCACCTGCAGTGTGACTCCAGTTGCTGGCCCTAAATTTACTCAAGCCACCCCTCACTGCCACAATAGCTAGCACACCAGGCACACATGCTTTGAGACTGACCAACACACCCTCCCAACATCTGTGTCCCCTCCAACTAGTGATGCAGAGAGCCTCACTCGCTCCAGTTGCCCACACCACAGTCCCATCAGTTTGTTTGGAGACTGATGGTCTTTGTCATCATCTCTGTCCCTGTCTGTCATGTTTGTGTGTCTGTGGTTTTGTTTCTTGCTGCCCCCTTTACTTGTTACTGCTTCTGAAAAGGTCCTTGATTGGGAAACCTTAGTGAAGCAGACTCACCTTTCACATACAATAACTAATGTGAATTGTAACTAAGTATGTTAAGTTACTTAGGAGATTATTTAACCCTCTTACTGATATGTTTTCCATCTGCATTAAGTTACACATTTAAACAGTTAAACTACTGATACTGAATTCAGAATAGTAATTCACAAAATGTCATTGATGTCAGAGTCCATTTATAATGGTGGTCTGCTCACTGACGAAAATATTTTAAACTAAAGTGAGGGTACCAATACAGAATCTGCGCCCATCCAGCATGGGAATATCTAGTCCCCAACATCTGAAGTTTGATCCAAAGGCCACTGAAGTATGGGAAAATTACAAGTTTCTGTTTCCCCATTGTGTTTATGTAAATCTGGAGAAGGTCTGATGGCATAACTTTGAGAAGTAGATCTGGCCCTTGCTGACTGCTCAAGTTCTTTTGAAGGGGGAATATTAATTCCTTGGAGCCTGAATGTGTACCAAACACAATGCTAAAGTCTCTAATTTTCCCTTTTGCATTCTTTTTCTTTTCCCTCCCTTCTAGAGGCTATTCTTAGTTGCAAGCACAAATTTTCAAAAGGGATGAGCTTAAGAATAGAATGGAAGAAAATCCAGTCTCAAGGAGTCTCGTTTGTCTACTACAATGGTGAATTTACAGGTACAGTACTACAGGCTTAGACTGATAGTTTAACATGTCATTCTCTAGCAGTGACATTGACTCTTGCGTGTTGAATAACATTAGGAAAGTGACTGAAAGAGAATGCTCTTGACTTTCCATACTGAACAGCTGTCATTTTGAGAAAAATAAGTCTTCCCCAGAAGGAAAAAAAAAAAAAAGGCATTTATTAATAAAATCATCAATGATTGGTTACCTTTTTAATGAAGTTAAATATAATAAAACTCAGGACTAAGAAAAATGGCACTTCACATTCCTTGACATTTTTCAAAAATTAAATTACATGCAGATAGAAACTCCCCAAAACTACTGCAAACTCTGCACTACTATCCTGCAAAGAGGTTTCTGAAGCCTCCTGTAGGGCTGAAGGCTTAGATATGAATAATGCAGCAATTTTTATATACATAAAATATAAACTCAGCTGTATATTTTAAATTATTCGTATTCTTTTCAGATGTGAAAGTTCTGTTTACTTGTTCTGAAAAGGACTTACCTTAGCTTTATGTGTTGAAGAAAATATGGGTGTCTGGTACCTTGCACACAATAAATTAAGGTTAAAAAGCACAGCGATTTTGTTAGTTTGTAGAGCTTGAAAGATGTGCCGGTTGTCTTGATGAACTTGTTTTTTTCTGCATATATTTAATTTAGAGAAACACTGGAACTCATGGTTATATGTGTGCATGTAACTTTAATTACATGACAAGCTGTAGAATGAGAAAGCCCTCATTGTAAGAAGTCTGATGGCAATATCTTTGCTAAATCCATGAAGGTTTTTTTGACATTTTAACTTGGCAATATACTTTGCTGTGGTCTCATTCACAATTCTTTCTGTAAGGTAATTAAGTTAGTGATTGCCCTCACTCCAGTGGAAAATGATGTCTTTTTGTCACCTGACTACTGCTATACATGTTTTCATGAAATATCTGCACAAAAAAAAAGCATTCCATCTTCCAACTAGAAAATGTATGACAGATGTAGGTTTTTTTGAACTGAGGTGTTTTTTTCTGGATTAAATGGACAAGTTCTGGAAGTTTCTCAATGCTCCTTAGTGATAGATAACTGACACTGAACAAATGAGCAATAGTTCATAAATTGTATGTGATTTCAGAACAAGTCAATGAGATGCAGATGTTTTCTATAAGCAAAGAGCAGAAACCTCTCTGTCCTCCCTTAAAGGTGATCTTCGAGGCCGAGCAGAGATGCTGAATACAGGAATCCGTATTAGAAATGTAACTCGAAAGGATTCTGGAACCTACCGCTGTGAAATCAGTGCAAAAAGTGAAGAGGGGCAACGCCTGGGAGAGGCTACTATTACTCTCACAGTATTGGGTACAAACTTTATTACTTGGGCTTCTGTAAAGAAATTGAACAATGTCAAGGGGTGTTGGAGGTAGGGTTGTCCATATGGGATGTGGATACTGTGGTTTTGGGTCTTCTTTGGGCTGGGTTTATAAACACCCAGGTACATTCTACAACATACTTCATAAATGCTTTACAGAATGCACCCTTGCATTAGAAAAGAATATAACTAGAGTTTGGGCGATATAAATGTGGGTTTCAGTTCTCAAAACTTAGCAAGTATGCTGATTTATGTGATGGTGAAACTTCCATTTCTACTAAAATTGAAGTCACTCGGTGTTTGAGAATCTGGATAAGCTGATCATGGTGTTTGGCACTGGAAAGCCAGCATCTGTCAACACTTATCAAATATTCCTAAGCATATAATTCTAATATGCTACAGTTTCCTCCTGTTTTTGGAAGGAGAAACTGCTGCAGTGTCTGTGCAATGCCAGCCAGAGAGCTAGCAATATGTGCATTTATTTACAGGAGAGGTGGTGTTGGCTTGCGGGGTGGTTGGTCTCTGTGGATTTTTGTTTCTTTCCCAACTGGCCAGAGGAGGGAAAAGTGAATACTGAGCACATTCTCCTTCCATTGTTCCTGGTGGTTTTCCCAGTTGATGAATGGTAGCGGTTGGTAATTTTCTCCTTTTCTCCATATAGGGAGTTAAAAAAAAAAAAAAAAAAGATTTGTTTTTGTAGTTTCTATATTGTTTTTTCTATATAAAAATAATTGAACTTTTAAAATTATGAAGAACTTTGAGAGTTTATTTATAAAGGAAGATAAATTCACAAACTTCTGATTAGCTCCAACAATGAGATAACTTCACTTATTCCTTCCTTCTTCCACTTTCTCAACAGCTTTCCTGTTTTAAATGTGGCTTCTTAATTTAAAGTTGAAATCTTAGAGCCCAAAGGGGAGAGTGTGTGTGTGTGTGTGTGTGTGTGTGTGTGTGTTTGTGTGTGTGAGTGGGTCGGTCACAAACCTTTTTAAAAGAACTAGTTAGTATTTCACTTGGTTTTCTTTATTTTTTTATTTTAAAATCAGCCAAGAAAACACTATGAATACTTGCTAAGGTGTCACTTGTGCTTCTAATATTCTATGCATGCCTCTTCACCCTTAGTTTTCACCTATATAGCTTCAAACTACCGAAAAAAAAATTAAGTTCTTTTTCTGTTCACGTAATAAAAATCATTAAAGAGACATTCATCTTCATGGCAGAAGGAGTGGTCCGTTCTCCTGCATCTGTGTGTGGGAATGTTTGTTATTAATTTAAACTGAAATTTAGTAGCCAGTTGTTTTCAGTCCTCAATGGGGGATTTACACAATGGCCGTGATGATGGCCAGTCTTGGTAACTCTTTCTGACAATCATTTATCAAAAACCAGTCAACTTTTAATACAAAAAAAATATTTTTCTTCTTACCCACTTCTGTTTTTAAATACTGGGGCAGGGAAGTGGGGAACTGCTGGACAACAGAATCCCTGAGTTGCTGGGCAACAGATTCCTCCTGTCTGTGAGCAAGAGGCCCCGTACAAGAAACAAGGTGAAATAAACTCTCTGGGGTTGGATGAGAGTATATAGGTTGCAGAGAGGATGACACAGCACGATGTGGAGGAGGCTGGGAGCAAGTCTCTTCCATTTTTAGCTGCTCACAAATTTTACTGTGCTCTCCACTAGAAGGACTCTGCCTTCAACCCCTCCTCCAGCACCTCATTTCATTAACATGGTAGTTTGTAAGCATGTACACAAGCGCTCACCTCCCCACCAGTGACTGTCAAACTGTTGTCATATAGGCAATACCGATAAGACTGTAACAAGTGCGATTTCATTATCCAGTTGCTCCAACTACTCCGGTATGTGAGGTACCCAGCTCCGCAATGACAGGAACAGTAGTGGAACTGAGCTGTAAGGAGACTGAGGGGTCTCCTCCGTCTGAGTACCAGTGGTACAAGAACGGTGTTGCCTTACTGGAAAAGACAGGAACAGGCAGTGCTAGAGCAGCAAACATAACTTACACCATGAATAAAAAGTCTGGCACTCTGGTAAGTACAATAACCAACTCTGTCATAACCAGCTATCAAGACCAAATGTACCATTTAGCACAATGATGCACAGGGGTCTTAATCCAAAAATGCAGGTCTTCGTCAGAGATCAGTGTCATGCTGATAATGTGCTAACAAATGTAGAAGGTGGTTTCTGCCTCAGACCAGTGACAAGCCATAGACGATACAGACAAATTGGGCGAGATGTAAGGCTGCAGTAATAATAAATGAGCAGAATCTAGAAAATACATGACAAATTCCACCTTGTCAGCTAACTAGTGCCAGGTGAGAATGATCTCTCACTACATCAACAGTTATATTTGATAGTGCCTTAAAATCTGAAGAAGTAACTTCACGCTTTTCAGTGGGGTTCCAGTCCAGTACTTGCGAAGTCAGTGGGAATGAGTTGGGGCTGTAAGTAAGTTTAGTGGATTTTTGTTTTAGGTTTTCATTTGGTTTGGTGTTTTTTTTTTTTTTTTTTTGCGGAGCAGGGAGGGAAAGGATGGGGTGGTGGTGTTCCCCTTAGAACTGGCCATCTCTTTCTCATCCCTCCCCCATTAGCTCATCCTTCTAAAAAAATTGATACATACTATTTACGATGCATTGTCAGCTGAGATTTTTTAGAAGAGTTGTTCTAGAACTCTACTCTTGTGTGTGGTCAAACATGGAAATTGAAATGTGACTAAGCATTCAGAGGTGCTCTCGATCTTTCAGCACACTGTGGAAATGGGTGGACTACTTAAAAATACTAATGACTTCTGAAAATCTTATTTTTTAAGTATGGTGTATATTAAAGGGAATAAAGTTAACAAGTCTAATGATTTAAAAAAAAAATACTGAGAAACACTGGAATTGACATGAAGTCAGTCTCTGTCCATATATTGTTTCTCCATTTTCATTTTTACAGTAATAGTATTTGATAAATAGTGTAGCTTAGCATTTCTCCATTGGAAGAAGAGGGAAAGTGCCATTTGTGGGTTGTTTTCCCCCCCACCCAGAAAATTTGTGGGAAATTTTTTTGTAGTACATTATATTATTTATTATTTTTTTGTATTTTTCTTGTTGGGTTTGGTTTTTTTTGGTAAAATGAACAAAATTCTGATTTCAAGGATTCTGAAATTAGACCATGTCTAAGAAAATGATTTTTTTTTTTTTTTTTTTGGAAAGTACTGATCCAGTGAAAAAGAATTTCCTTGTAGCTACATTCCATCTAGTTAAAATGTACGTCTAAAAGACCCTCTTAGACCAGAAGCTGAAGTTAAGGACCAGGGAATGTGACTAGTGAGCTGAATTATGAGGTTGAACTGGAGCAGAATTTCTTACTCTCAGTTGCTTGCTTGCCTGTTTGTTTAAAAAACAAACAAACAAAAAAACCCCCCTGTTGACATGTCAAAATTTCTATCCCACAGGGAACTCTGAATTTTTTTTCATTCTGATAATGGTTTTGGACTCTGTCTTAACAGCTATTTAACACAGTTACAAAGAACGACACTGGGGAGTATTTCTGTGAAGCCTCCAATGGGATTGGATTATCTCAGAAATGCTCAGTGAAGAGAATGCAAGTAGGTACGTGTCAAAGAAAATAAGGGTGGTAAACAGTCTTGCAATAGAAATTATTTTATTGCATGATGCAACTGAAAAGCTAAGACCAAATCAAATTATGTTTGATGATGGCATTTTGGAGGAGGAATAATAATATTAGTTCCTTGTAAGTAGTTACTGTGGCTACTTAAAGCATTCCTTTCTTACAGCACAAACATATCTCACTGTATTTCACAGAAAAACAGCTTGTTTAGTACCTTAAAATTATTTCCATAGCCACCCTTTAAGTTGCTAAACACTGAACTTCCCAGAAGAGCAGTTATCCATATGAGAGCCTTAATATTTCAGAATGCTTTTGTGGAAGGTGTACAGGATAATGGGTTATTTTCTTTATGAAAAGCCTCCCTTTTGAGGTGCATTCATGTGAGATCTGAATGTAACCGATCAGAAATTTAACCTTTATACCTGCCAGAGGGACACTGAAGAAGTTGGTGTATCTTTAAAATAAAAAAATCCTGCTGCCTGTTTCTTTTCTTGCACAGTGTAAGTGAAGTGTAACATAGGTTAGCTAAGAATTTAGCAAAGGCTGGAAGGGCAGAGTCTGTAATAACCCCAAATATATGAATGTTTTTGCGAAGTATAAAACTAGCTCTTGCAAATGTAATAGGAAAGCAGATATTAACAAATCTTAACAAATACTGCACAGAAATTAATGTCCAAGTATTCCATAAAACAGTCATCTGGTGCTTTCTTAGAACTTAGAGCTTTAGCTGAAAATCACTGTATCACAGCTTTTAATGCATTCCTGGTTGATTACGAGCAAGTGTTCCACAAGCTACCAAGAGAATCCCTCTGTTGTGGAAATACTCACCAAAGTCATACATTGCTGTCAACTGATGCACAGCAACTGATAGGTTTGGGGGTAAAATTCCCAACTATATATTTATGTGTGCTTAAAGTCAGGATCCTAACAAGTAATTGGACATATAACAAAAACCTATGAAAATGTTTCTGCTTGTTGATGTTTTTGTTTTTCCTGAAATAGATGATTGTCTGAAGCTCTTTGTGATTACATTGGGAAATGGGAATGGGTCATCACCTTAAGAATAAAAATGGCTAGATGTTTCAGTAGCCTAGTGTGGAGTTTGCCTTTAGACATCTGATCTAAAATATTTGTTGGCCCTTGTGTTGAATTTTAAAAGTGTTGCTGTTTAAAAATTAAAAAGCATTGAATTTTAAATAACTCTGCTGAAGAGTTCCTCAGGACTGGGACCGGACATTGTCATCAACAGTTTCAGTTATTTTAGGCAAACTAAATATATGAAAACACTTGTTCATAAGACTTTTAAGGATTTCAAAGTATTTTCCCTTAGAGACATGAATAATATTTACTAGGAAAAGGTATAATGAGGACTATGTATCCCTTGACCCCTCTTAATCTTTCCTTACTTTTGACCTGAACTAAGCAGTTGAAGTGTATTGGGCATTCCTGTTAATGTGGCTGTGACACAGCAGTGCTTTTGGACTGCTTATCCACATCTAAGTGTTACTAATTAACTTCTGCAGCTTCGGTCAAAGACCACCTATAGATAGAAAAGGTGCATGTAGTAATTAGGGGAAAAAATCCAGCCAATTACAATTTTTACAACTTACAACATTTGACTTATGTTTTATGATTACAGATGACCTTAATGTAAGCGGTATCATTGCTGCTGTAGTATTTGTGGCTCTGGTAATGGCATTGTGTGGCCTTGGAGTATTTTATGCCCAAAAAAAGGGCTACTTCACAAGTAAGTAAAATAAAATCACTCCTTCTTTGTGTTAAAAAAATGTCTATACTTCTGCTAACTGTAACATGTCCTCCTTTTCATGGAGGCTCTAACTCCCTGGAACTAAAGCAAAAGAGCATTATGACAGCAACTTTTTTATTGTGTAGACATTTTTATTCTGCCAACTTCTACTGCAAACAATACTTCGAGAATGACATGGAGACATTAATGCAGTTGTATAAGGCTACCAAAGAGCAACCTAGGGAAAGCAACGAGCCGAGCCCTGGTTCCTGGAGCCTCTCTGCTCTCGTTTTGAGAGGGAATGGCAAAGAAAGGCAACATAAAACAAGTTGTCACTTCTTGTCTGAAACTCACTTTTAGTCTAAAAGGTCTGAGCGGCTGAGTTACGATGAAGAGGAAACTAAATTAACTGGCTCCCTCTTCTGGGTCGTGGCGAAAGTGCACGTGGTGAAAGTTTGCTTCTAGGGGATTCCTGCAAAAAGCTCGACACCAAGAAGCCCTCTCCGTAGCGTTTCCATTAGTGCCAGCAGAGTTCGGCCCAGCGAGAAGGAATGCTGAGTGTCGGGGTCTGGGAAGGTCGGTGGCCTGAAAGTAAGAGGCTATCGAAGCAGCTGTTAGACTTCGTGTTCGCTTAGAAGTTCATTTACCCTTGAAGGCAACCTAATCTTTTTCTGTTTAAACTCACTACACCAGAGACATTTTACTCAGAAACTCCTAGAAACTGAAGAGCTGACTAAGCTATGAATAACTTTCAAAGAACTCTGAATCAGATAAGGAAACTGTTCTGGTGCTAATTATTTTTTTTTTTTTCTTTTTCAGAGGAAAGCTCTTCCCAGTAAGTATCTTGATGCAAGCAGTACACAAATCACTGCAAATTTCATTTACATTTCTGATGATTTAGTAACTATGATGATTAAGGCCTTTCTCATATGATTCTTGTTCAGTGGCTTGTTTTAAACACTGAAATAAACCTGATCCTACACACCATCTGGTTCCCTTATTAGAACCAGTGTGGTGGTCAGAAAATGAATTAAGCATTGTTACTCTGATAAATGTGCAGAGATGTGTCTTTTTACATAGTTATTTTGTACACCCCTAACTCAGCCACAGGCATGCGTTTGTCTCTTCTTCAAAGTAGACAAAAGATGATCAAAACCAAATTGAACTGCCTTCATATCCATGTCTACAGGTTATTTCAGGAAATGTTTTGTAAAAATATGACTGATGGAAACTTTAGGGGTTTCTGGTCTACTCCTTTGATATGGATTTATTTTATGCACTTATATGTCTTAGTAGCAAGTCAGAATTCCACAACCTATTTTAGTGTTCCCACACAAGGCTAAAATTGTGTGCTTCATTGGAGGCTGACCTCCAATTTTTTTTTTTCAGTTTTATTCTTTTAAAAATTTATCTTAGCACTTATAAGTAATAGCAAGTAAAAAAAAAAATAGTAATGTAATAGAAAGGAATGCAAATATTAGTTTAAAATACTGTGTGTTTATACTGGCCATGAACTAGACAAAGCATAACTGGAAGACTTGAAAAAACAAACTAGGGAAGGTAATTTGACAGTGGTTCATGAGATAATGACAGCTATCTAAAAGCATTCAGTGAATTCATTATTGTAAGTTTTTTATAGGATGGGAAATAATCCTAAGGATTGCTGGAAATTTGGAAAAATGCATTCATAAATAATGTTCTCAAAGGGTTAAAACCTTTAATATCAAAAGTTATGACTTAACACATGTTCCTTTCCTGTTAACAGGAAGAAGACGAACTATCAGTCTACGAGTGAAAAGGCAAGTATTTTGCATTCAGTAGTGTTGAAAGTTTCAGAAGTCTTCAAAATTCCTTAGATCTGCGATGCTTTTGCACACATATATGCACCCCCCACACCCACCAAACCATACATGCCACCAATACCTGAAGACATGTTATCTCTTCGCGTTTACAGCTTCCTTAGTCTCAAGTGCCGTACAACTACAGCACCTTGCTCCATATTTTTCATCTTTTTCTTTACCACACTAACCAGATGTTTGCCTGGTTTTCTTTACCTACTTCTTCCTACATTTCCATGTTCTATTAGCTTCTTTCATTCTTTTTCTTTCCCATTTTCATGATTTTCCCTCCATCAGTTGAACTAAAGAGGTAACACCCTTACACTATTCGGCAATATCATCTCTCTACTGTCTACTTAATGATGCCATTTCTTGTGAAGACGTCCACTCTGCCTTGCTTGTACATATCAGTTAACCAAGGAAACTAACTTGGACACAGTCCAAGGCAGCAGTGAAAGTCTGGGCTGTCATTCCTCTAAGATTAATGTGGGTCAAAAGGCGTGACTAAGTATGAAAGCTAAACTTAATATTTTTTCCCCCCCCTTCCTCATTGAGAAGACTCAAGGGCTTTAACTGCGAGTAAATTGCTCAAATTGGTGCAGAAAGAATGGAGCTCCAACTAGGAGCAACTTAATTTCACTATCTATAGTTGAAGGCTACATTAGTAGCCTTAAAAGCTTGCTAACCACCACCTGTTTCTTTAATCAAAACAGCACCTACTAAATAGCATAAGCTTATTCCTTCACTAGTATGTATAAAAGAAACTTACCGAGGCAAACAACACCTGGCTGTTCTGAGTTGGAAGGAGCAAACTTTGAAGATATGTGGTATCTGTTTATTAATATTAATGCACCTAGGGATCAGATGCTCAGAGCTGTTTGATACTTGTATTTTTTAATAGGTTATTATTTCTATTTTGTGTAGCAGTGCATGCTGTAGACTTCCTTTTCCAGAAGACAGAAAATGTTAACTAATAGTGCTTCAGGCATGCTTCTTTTCAATCTCAATGCCTTAGTTTCTTCTGAAGCATACACTAAATGTTAATCCGGTTGAAGTCTTTGAACTATTACTTATGTAACCTTGTCTGCTTCATTTAGGATTTCAAGCATACAAAGTCCTTTGTTATTTAGAAGATTTCAGCCTCTGTGAGGGACATCAAATGACTACTTGTTATACAAAAGTATCAAAGGGATCTTTTGACCTCTACTCTGTAAATACTGTTTCCATGTACTACATGCTGAAAATAGAAACTGCCACTGTTTAGATCTAGTCAACCTAACTGTGATTGCTTTTTAAAAAAAAAACAAAACCCAAAAAACCTTAAGATAGAACTAAATTGAATGTGCAAGTCAATTTGTGTGAAGAACTGTCATTTTGTTCATGTATACATGCAGGAATACAGGATTCATTCCTACAGCTTGGAACAATCTATTCACATAACTTTTTCATAGATGACCTTGCTACCACTACTTCTACTACTTATGTATCCACTATTGTCAGGGGCTCAAACTCTCCTGGAATTCTGACTTCATAGTACCTTGACACTGTATTAGATTTGCAAAAGCCATCTCTAAGTGTGTAAGTAGTCAGGCAGCCTTAAATTCACTATCTTGACAGAATAAAGCTTTCTGTAATTGATGCTCATGCAGTGATCATGCCAGTACAACTCAAGCTGTACTATCTGGACCCTAACTGTTGAAGTGTCACAAATAAATAGCTCCTCAGAACCTAGAGTGTTTGTGTCAATAGCTCAGTTACTGATTTTTTTTTTCCTGCAGAAGCTTTTTGAATGTGACAAACTCAAAAACAAGTAGTTCCTTCTTGGTGTGGTGTTAGTGGTGTTATAACTTCTCAGCGCTAAAATGTAGTTAACGTGGATAAATACTACTCCGATGTCTCAGTCACTTAAGAGTTGATGATTGTAGCTAACTGCTCACCCTACAGTTAAGAACTCACACTTCTGAAATCAAACTGAAATACTACATTTATTAAGTTACAACTGGTGCTGTGTTCAGCAACTCCATTGATGTAAATGGCTGTTTGGTGTACAACCTGTAGAGATCACTTCAGAGTCGCCTCAAAGTTGGGCTCTAAAGGAGGAAGGAGAGAGAAAAGTCATATTAATCTCTCTTTATACCAGCCTTGAACTCCACAATTCATCTGTTATTCAACGAAAACTAAACTTTAAGTTGGCAAGCTAAAGCAAGCTCTTGTACATTCCAGTCTACACCACCACTTTGTTTGGATCAGGGTGTGAGTGGATGTGGGCAGCGCTATGCTAGAGCCAGGTCTTTTCTACCTTAGAGTAGTTATGCATAAGGTTTAAGACAGACATGCACCTTGGTAACATTCAGCCACAACAGCTTTTAGCAACACCTGGGCTAGGGGAGAAGGCAGCAGAGAAACTGAAGAAGTCAACGAGAATGTTACTGGACATGACACTAATATTTCCAACAGGGCTCTGATACAAGAACAAGTAACCAAGCTCTTCTTTCCTCTTGATTAGTATCTTATAGCTGATTGTCAGAATGGAGTGCCTGATTTCAACTCTACTCAGCAAAAGATACTCTCCACATACAAGCACTGAGGAAGGAGTCCTTGATGTCAAAGCTACAAACTTGAAGTGTTAGGGCTTTTGACAGGTGGGCTATTAATGCCTGTTCTCCTTGCTCCAAAGAGTCTGAGAGGTAAGGCTCACCTTATTGTAATCTTCACTAACACAAAAAAGTTAAGTTTCTACCCATCTAGCCACTTAGTTTCAAAAATTTGTTGAAATTAGATTAAGAATAGGCAACAGTGGTAAAAGAACATGGTCTCCCACCACCCTGCTTTGTTCTGTTCCTATGGTCACACAAATTTTGTTTCATTACAAACAAAATCCTAAACTTTAATAGGTATTGTTTCATGTATTACATAGAAATAAAATTGAATATGTAGAAGCCACATCCCTAAAACTGGGGGGGAAGAAACTTCCTACTCTAGGATCCTAATTTACAGATGCTCTGTTTTATTTGCACCTGCAACAATCTGACACCAGATTCTTCCTTAATCCAACTGGAATACCACCAAAACACCAAACATTTTTAGGTGTGTTCCTAGTCTAAATTAGAATTTCCAATCAGTCTGATCAGAATTACAGGTCACTGACTATGGTGGCTTGACTCTGGCTGCCTGGCAGATGTGCACCAAGCTTCATGCTCTCTTTCCCTCCATCCCTCCACAGAAGGGTTGCGGATAGAGACAGCGTTTTTTACTCTTTCAAAAATACGCTGCCACAGAGGCATCACCAGCATCACTGCCTGGCTCAGCTGTGTCCTGCAGTGGGTCCATTCCAGAGCCCAGTGGAACTGGCTGGCTGATGAGTGAACACCTCCTGGCCACTCCTGATGGAAGCCACCCCTGCAGCCCCCTGCTACCAAAGCCTTGCCACGTAAACCAGACACATGGGCATGCTGAAAAGATTCCTGAATCCCAGCTACCAGCTGCTGACAGCTTACCCCCTACAAAACCTGACTTTAGCTAAAACTGCTTGTGAACAATGAAGACTTAAGAGCTGTACTTATATAAGCAAGCAAAAGAAACCAACTATAGAAATGAGCCTGTCTGTAAAAAAATGAAATTGCTTTTATGTTTTACGGCAGACAGCATCTGTGCAGTTTCTCTGCATTCTTGATAAGCCAATAGTCACAAACATTCTTCTTGTCATAATTAATCTGGGTAATATGAAAACATACTAACACAAACTTTGAGCAGTTAAACAGACATCATAGCCAAATAACTGAAGAAAAAGGTTTAATATAATTTAGTCAGTAAATAATCATAAGTAACAAAGTTAAGTTCTGTGTTCATTTTCCGAAGTCACTGACTTTTCAGATGCACTTACAAAATTCACAAATTGTCATTTGGATGACAGACAACTGGTTTTCAAATTACAGTCTGCTGACCTCTTTGGGAGGATGAGAAAAAAATATAGCAATAGGCCCTGGGATATTTCCCTTTATATTTGGGCTATTTCTTAGGATCTATGAAGGGTAATTAAGACGGCCTGATCTGACTGCACGTGTTAAGCATCAGTCAGTCAACACCTCTACTGGAAAAGGCAAATAATCAAAAAAAGGAGTAAGATGGAATCAGATGCAAACTGTGCAAAGTAAGGAGATTCACTGAAGGCATCTTACATGAAATTGCTGGTTCAAATAAAAACTAAATGGAATTAAGAAATCCGGTCAGTGAACATGTCCTTACTTGCAATTATAAATTAGTAAGATTGTTAACTCACCCTCAAATTTAAATTCTGGAAACTTGGTTAGATCTCCCTCACCATACGCCCGTTGAAGTCTGGCAAGAGATTCATTCATGTCTTTCTGAAATTCCGGTCCTGTATCAACAGGCCCTCCAGCTTGCCTAAAAAGCATTTAAAGTTCTTATTAACAGTTCAGTTGTGAATTTCATGTGGAAGTTCTAAATTTGCATGGCCATTTATGAATTAAAAACCTTTTCGACAGCCAACTAAAGCAAACCACTTAAAATACTTCCAAAAGTCAAGATACGACACACCTTAGGGCCTATTTACCTCACACACAAACAAGGATCTCAGGGTAGTACAGGCTTTCTACTATCAGTGATGAAAATCCAAGCTAGATGTAGCCTTTTCAGACACAAAAGTATGCTGAGTATCCAAGCTTTCAGGGCTGTTAGTTTCACTTGTTCCAGGTGTGATTTCCTAACAAAATTGTGATTTGTACCTCTGCTATTTCTGAAGTAATGATCTTGGTTAGGAAAGCTTAACTGTTCTTGCAAAAAGAACGTTTTGAATACTAAACAAGAAAAAAACCCAAGACATAGAGCACCTTGTATTCATGTAGATTCAGACAGACATTTCTTGGGATACAAGTATAAAATAATTAAGATGGTTAATTACCCTCTTTAGATTACCAATGCTCAGTTTTACCAACACAGATACAATTTATGATTGGTAAAGCCACCAAAAATATGTCTCCCTGCACAGGCTAGTTTGTAGGTGTGGAAACACACATCTTCCTCCAGTAGAACTAATGAATGTCTTATTTTCATCCCAATAATAAATTACACAGAATTACTATAGTTTTAGTTTCCTGTTAAGTAGTTCATCCAAACAGTACAAGATTCCATTTGAATGAACTGCTTATTAACTTAAGATGTTTAATGAATCAGTCTCATAGTTCCATTAATTTTCATTTACTTTTGGAGGCTATTTCCATTCAGCATCTGGAAATGAGACTGAAGAATAGCCATTTTCCCCAGACAAAAAAAGAGGTGCTGCTTTTTTTTTTTTTTTTTTCTATGTACAGAGCACACAGATGGGTAAAAATTAACATACTGGTATGTTTATGTAGCGTTCAAAAAAAATCAAGTGCCTAACTCCCCAAAAAGAACAGTATCAGTTTTTTTTTTTTTTAATTAAGGGGAATGAGATGGACATTTTCTATGATGTATGCAAGATGCTTTCTCACTTGTGACACCATCAGTAAGTGTTGCAGAAAAGCATACCTTAAGTGCTTAGAGACCAACCTATAAAGCTAACGTATTTTAGCATGTCAAAATCAACATTTTTCCCCTTTTGCCATCAGCCTTAAAATACTTCCTTTTACTTACTTGCTCTTTGTGTTGTATTCTCTGATCTTGTCCACGAAGAGCTTCTGAACTGGATCGAGCTCTTTTGTCTTATTAAAGACAACAGCAGAAAGCCCTATGTTTCTGCGTAAGTGAACGGAAACAGCAGAGCGAAAAATGGAAGAAAGTCGCAGAATCTGATGCAGAATCATGGTGACACTAATATTTTAGATATAAAAAAAAAAAAAAAGCCAAAACAGAAACACGGAATGAGTTAGTGCCTCCCGCAAAGTAAATGCATAAAGAAGCAACAGATTTAGTTCAGAGATGATCCTTAAACCCGGGAGAATATTTAAACCACCCTGCAACCCGGGGTGAGAATTCAAGCGGCCGCTACACGTCCCCTTCGACCGCACCCGGCGACCGACCTCGCTCGCACCGCCACCCAGACTAACCGGGAATTACAAGTTTTGCCTTGTTTAAAGAAAAAGTAACACTTCTAGCCCAGCCGAAGCAAGCAGCAGCGGCCCTACCGCTCCACCCCCCCGCGCCTCCGTCCCCGCCTCACCCGCCCTGAGAAGCCCCCGCAGGCGGCGGGGCCAGGAGACGCCGTCAGCCCCAGGGCCCGGGTGCCCCAAGCGCAAACGGGCGGCGGAGAACAGCCCGGCCCAGCCCCGGTCACCTTGGAAGAGCCACCGCCACCGGTCCGCCCCGCCCCCCGCGCAGTGCACGCCGGGAAGCTGCCCCGTCCGCGCGGCTCGCCGCCAACCACGGCGCGGAGCCCCACGGCCGCGCAGGCCGGGGGGGGGTGGGGATAGGGTACCCGGGGCGGCGGTGGCGACAACACCCACCGCACCGCACCTCACCACACCACACAGCTGCCCACCGCCGTGCGGAGGGAGCGCGGATACAAGCCCGCTACCGCCGGAAGTACGCGGACACTTCCGGGTGCGGGGAGTGGGGGGGGGGGGGGAAGTGGGGGATGGAAGAGGGTGGGAAAGGATTCGGAGTGACAGGCATCGCCAATCCCGCCCCCAGTCGCGGATTGGCCGCGCGCGGGGGCTGCCGGGAGCTGTAGTTCCCTCCCCTGCGCGGGGGGGTGTCGGTGTCGGCGCGCCCTCCCCGCCCGGGCCCGCGCTGCCCAATCCCGAGCGCGCGACGGCCTCCTGGCGGCGGCGGCGGCGGCGGGACCCGTGGGAGCTGCGAGGCCGCGGGCGGCGAGAGGCGTCGTGCGGCCGCTCCCCCCGGGGCCGGCGCGGCGGACGGTGGCGGCGGCGGCGGCGGCGGCAGCGGGTGAGCGCGGCGCGGCCCGGCCTGTGTTTTGTTTCCGTTTCTTCCCGGCGCCGCGAGTCTCATTTCCGTTTCGGGTTCAAACAACGACGAGGCGCCGGCGGGGAGGAGGAGGAGGAGGAGGAGGAAGGGAGGAGGGGGGGAAGCGATGCGGGCGGGGTGGCGGGGGAAGAACCGGGGCCTGCGAGGAGGAGCGGCCTCGCTCGGCCGCGGGTCTGCGCCGGCCTGGCTGCGGCGCCGCTCTCCCCGCCCGCCCGCCGGAGGCGGCGGCGGCCCCGCGGCTGGAGGAGCGGGCTGGGGCGCCCCGTCCCCGCGGGCCGCGGCGTCTCCGGGCCAGGCCGCTGCCCGCCGGCCGCCCCGCCAGCGGGCAATGGAGGCTGCGGCGGGGCGCGGGGCCCCGGGCGGAGGCTGGAGCCCTCCCGCCGCGGGTCCTGCGGCGGCGGCTGGGGCGCGAAAGCTTACCTCCGCCGGTGAGAACTTAGCTGGGGTGGAAACGTGAGAGGGTGTTTGGCATCTCGCTTCGCTTGCTTCTTGGTGTTCGGCCAGGTACGTGCTGCACAACCACCTCTCCCAGTTCGGGTTTGCTTTCTGACTTCGGGCTGTCGATAAGGAAGAAAAACACTTGAAATCAGGCGTGACTTCACCCCGTTCAGTGCTCCGCTGTCTTTGTCTTAAGTCCGGACTGGCTGTTAACTTACAAGAGCTGATCTGGAAAGAACAGGTTGTCTGGTTTGTGTTGGTACTTAGAATTTGAACAAGAATAGGGATGGATAATACTCAGTGCTCCACAAACATCAGAGCTTCTCGGGAGCACAACTGTCTCCAGTTATCGGGCTTCAGTATCGAATGACAATGCATGTGGGCTCCAGTAGTTACCCCCCCGCTTCACAGTTACCTGGTAGGATAACAAGCGCTGATTTTCTTAGTAGAGTTTGTGCCCGTATCACGGTGGGCTTGTTACTTGCTTAATTCCTTGTGTTCCAAGGAAAAGAAAGGATAGATGTTAAGAGAACAATGGGACTTCTCCACTGTGTGCCGAAGCCAAACTGTAAAAGATACTGGAGTAGCACTGGGCTGTCTTGCAGGGGAAAAAAAGGCTCTATTGACAAGTGCCTGCTCTTACTTACACTAGTGGAGAGCTTTGTCAGGCATCATGGTCAGATTCCTTCTTGGAGAACAGGTAAGTCTTGGGACTTTTTAGGTTGAAGGAAAAATATAAACAAAGAGAAATCAGCTCTACCTTCCACAAATCTAGTACAGTTTTATATGTTCCTTCAAACAAACGCTGCTGTTGTAGTATTGCTACTGCATTGACCCTCCTAGCTGGCCAGGCTGTTTGCGTTCTCTTGTTTCTCAGTAGCCTTCAGGGAAGGCTCAGGAAGCTTAGTCTCATCCGAACCTATGTACGCTTTCAATCTCTTCATCATCCTGTAGCAACAAATTTTGCTAGACTTCGTGTGAAATGTTTGTATCATCAGGAGTCTTTCTGTATTCTAGCATAGGAAAGACTGAATAATTTTTACCCATTAGGTTTCTCTGAACTGTTAAATTACTTTGCATGTTTTTGTAATGTTATTCTTCTGCTTTCCACCCGTCATCTCCCTTTCTTGCATCTGTGCTCAGTGGAACCATCCTTTTTCCTCTTTCTGTACCTGCTGCCTGTGCTCCCCTCTCCTACCTCCCCAGGGTAACCAGAAATGTAGTAGAGCCTGCAAGATGCAACCACAAACCTTCTTTGAAGAGTGAGTGAACAGTTACTGGTCCAGCTGCCAATCTGGAGTCCAATCCATAGGGACTTCAAAATGTCTTGTCTACTTCTACACAGTAACTATGCTGTTATAATATTTACTCACAGTTATCACTTGGTCTTTATCAATGTTGAATATTTTCTGCCAGAAATCATTCAAGATGGTGAGTTCTTTCTGCTGGTCTGCATAGTTTTTTCAATAAATAGCTTATGAATATGTTGAGGAACAGAAATCCTAGCCTAACCCCTTTTGTGACCATACTGGTAAACTTCCTCACAACAAAAGTTATAACTTACTCTTGTTGTTTTGGGTTTTTAATCAGATTGCTAATACAGGAAAGATTTTCCCCTCTTTTTTATGACACCAGCTAGCTGCTCTGGCAGTTTTCAGTAAGGGACTTTGCTCAAACCTTAATTTCAAAAAATCTTTTAGCAGTCAACCTGTAACCATGCAGATGTCAGTTCTTTCAGATATTTAGTTCAGCTTGTCTTCATTCTTCACACATGGTGTTTCATTCTTCCCCACTTAGTGTGAAGATGATATACAAGATTAAGTGATATGGGCGTTGGACTCCCAGGGCCCTCCTCAGTGGACATTGCCCTGGCAGTTAGGGGATTTTCACAGAGCCACATCTGTGAGCAGAACAGATCTTGGTTTTGTTTCTGTTGGTGAGGTATTAATGAGGTGCTATTTACTCCTGCCTAGCTCTGGTAGCTTCTTAGAGATTGATATCACATGCAGCACTTGATTTCTTCAACTTTTACACAATAGTTTTTGAAGGATAGAAGTAGTTTGAATTTCTTTAAATGTATTCTGTAACAACTGTACAAATTGGTTGCTTTTCCTTTTGAGAAGTTCTAAAGTTTAATAAGTTCCCTTATTGTCTTTAGTAAATTCTCTTACTAACAGTTGGGTTTGAGTTAGAACAGTGCCTGGAAAAAAATGATTCCAGGATGCAAACCTTACTGACCTCTTCTACTGTGGATAGTTAAATAATAGCATGTTTGCTTTTTCTATTGTGATTTTTTTTTTCCTTTGTACTCCTACTTCCTATTCCTTTTCCTATGAGTTGGATGTATTATTTATTGTGAACTGTTAATATAATTTGGCCCAATTCTTTTATCGTGTATATTTCATACTTGTGATATATGGGATGGCTAGTGAAACATGATAATATTATACAAATTACGTCTTTACAAACCAAATGCTGTAATTCTTTTTTTCCCTCCTTACATTCCAACAGACTCCAGTATTCTACAGGGTGTGAAAATCTGCAGTGTCGATGAGGATATCATCACCGAATAGTTTTCCTTTTAATTGCTAACATACTGCATTAGTTTGGGACTTAACAAGATCTGTTCATTATGCACACATCAAGTGATCGCCTGTGAGAGGGATGGATAGAAAGATGTGACAGTCAATAAACACTTTATTGCTGAGTTGATTTACCCATGAGGAAATCATGGATCTTCTGTCTAGCTTCCTGTTGCAGCATTTTATGTAAAATGCAGCTTAAATTTATAAGCAGCCTCTTTCAGCCTTGCTAGGAAGATAGTACGTCGCTGAATCTAGACAGCAAAAGTACTCATAACTTCCAAAGAATTTTCAGAAGTTCTTTGCAACCAACCAGTAAAAGCTGTAGCTGACACATAACAAAAACATTCAGCAAATTTGGATGCCTCCAAGAAACTCAGGCTTTGGGCTCAGTGCTAATGTCCATTTGTAGTCCTGGATTTGCCCATAGAACATTTGTTTGAGGAACAGGTATTGACATCTATTTTGTGAAGTCTGTATTAGCTGTTGGCTTTATTTTTCAGGTGAATACTTGTCTTTAAAAAGCCATCCTGGTATTTGGTTTAAAAACTGTTTGATAGGAAACAACCAATTATCTAGTTTTGTTGATCTGTGACTTACAAAGAAAATTGTTTTCTGTTTGTAGATCTGTTCTTAAGACATTTTAGCCATGACTAAGAGGGAGGCAGAGGAGCTGATAGAAATAGAAATTGATGGAACTGAGAAACAGGAATGCACTGAAGAAAGGTATGTACTGTCTTGGCTTTTTGGGGTCCTTAGGCTGCCATTAATTTATTTATTTGGGTTTTTTTTAATTGATTTCAGATTTGTGGCTGCACATACTAAGTTTGGTTATTCAAATTTATTAGTGGGTACTGTGTAATACTTCAGAGATGGCCATGTTTATGAAATAAGTACAAGTGTGTTCTAGTTAGGTGAAGGAACTAACTTTAAACTGGCAGATGCAACTGGCTCGGTATGATCTCCGTAATCCTGCTGTTGATTCTTCACAGTTTTTCAACTTTCTTGCTGGACACGAAGTTCTTAGTTTTGCTTGTGCTCTCTTCAGTTTTTCTGTTTTTTTATTTAATGAAATTGTGGGTTTTTTTTTGATGTGGAACTGTAGCCACTATAGGAAACCAGTATAATGCTATCATGTTCTTCAATCTTAATTGCTTAAATCCTAAACCATTTTGTTTGTCTCTTGCTATATTCGTAGTAGTCCTTTTCCCTACTTTCACATCTGTAGGAATATGTCTACATGTACATGCTGCAAACCTTTCAGCTTGAATGTATCCTTCTGTAATTGAGATGAACGTTTCCATTTCTCCAGTCCATTGCTTTACTGTTATACAGGACCATTTGTTTTTTTACAGAGCAGAAATGACGTTCTGTATTCATTGACTATTGTTGTTAGGGCCACTGAATCTGTAAATACCGAAGTCTTGATGCCTCAGCCTGTTCTTCTCTTCCTAATGCTATCCTCCTAATTTTTACAACTGTTTTTGAAAGTACAGAGACAGTTAATGCGTTGGATAGAAATAACTGAGGCTGCTGGGTGACCTGCTCTTTAAGAACCTGTTTTGGAGAACTGATTTAAAACCACTTATTAGTTTCCTCTTATTCTGAGCTCCTTGTACATTTTTACTACTCACAAACTGACTATGTCTATATACTTTCAGATTTCCTTCTGTGTAAATGTAGAGACACCAGCTGTCTAAGGTTGTTAAGACATAAATCCCATAACATTGATATTTCTGAATGCCTATGTCAATACTGTCATCATTTTAGTGCAGGACAGCTATGACGTGACTAAGTTTTCCTTAAAGGCCCCATACTTCTGTAGTTCCTTCGGGTTGTCTCTTGTATGTATTAAGCTTATCCTTGTGCTGATTGTTGAAAAGATACAGATGATTAATTACTCTCTGTGAGGGTGGACATTTTTTCCTAATTTTTTTCCCTATCTGTTAAGTTTCTGTGTGTGTTTTTAACTTGAATATCATTTAAGTACAGTCTAGGCAAGACAAACAGAGTTAGTTTACTCTACATGCAAGCTAATAATGTATAATACACTAATCATGACTTAATCTCTTGGAAACAGTTTTTCTGAAAATGATCTTGGTATTTGACCTAGCTTTTTAACGGTGACAGAGTAAAAGAAGAGTTACACAACTGTAAAATCAATAGGGCCAAATTTAGTAATTCACTCTCTACTCAAGCTAAGAGTTTTTCTGCGTGGTGTTAAGATTTCAGAGTCAGTATTACATTTTACATAGTTTATTTCTAACTTTTTTTTTTAAGCTTTCCTATGCCTACTGTATTAACATGTAGGTAATGATTTGTTGTATTAATTTGGTATTTAAGCATCGTTGAGCAAACCTATACCACAGCAGAGTTTGTGAGTCAAGCTATTGACATCAATGAACCAATTGGAAATCTTAAGAAGCTGCTGGAACCCAGACTGCAGTGTTCCTTGGATGCACATGAAATTTGCCTGCAAGATATCCAGGTAAATTGAAAGGCTGTGAAAGATTTAACCTCTTAATGGAGAAATGTTTTACATACTTCCTCCCTTTCTTCCATTGATTAAGAGTTTAACTTCATCAGGTTCGTTTATCACCAGACCATTTAATGTATGCACCCTAATTCAGTGTGAATAAAATCAAAAAACTTTTGGGGTTCCTGAGGTGAGGATAAGAAAGCAAAAAATTGCCACCTTCCAAGTGAAAGAAGAATGAGGGCAACAACAGTGCTATCTTCTCTTGAGGTAGCCCGCATAGTTTTTTGCTGCCTGAACTTATACTAGTCTATTCTCGTTTTGAATCTGAATAAAGTGAGAAGGTTTTTATACTATTCAGGTGCACAGACAACAGAACATTACTTAATACATCCTCCCACACACACACTGTTTTTATAGGCATCACCACGTGTTAGACAATGTAACTGTTTCACATTGTGTCTAGCTGCATGTTGTACTTGTAGTTATAATCAGACATCTGTGACTTCTCCAGAAACAACAGGGAGACTACTGCTTTAAAGACAAGAATTTTTATGAAGGTGTTAAAAACTGACAAAAGGAACTGTAGACACTTTTCACAAAGCAAAGGTACTTTCAGGTATTGCATTGCTTTTTTTAGGTTAAAAGATGTCCCTGTAAGTGAAACTACCTTCAACAGAACAGAGTAGCAAGTTTCAAATTCCAGTCAAATTCTTTGTCTTGTACTGTGTCTACATAGTACTAAAAATATTTGCATGCTTCTTCAGAAGATTTGCTGTAAACACTTAAGTTTTTCTAAACTTTAAAGGAGGGTAAGTTTCTTAAAACTGTGAGACTAATACATATTTTTAATTTTTTTTGCTTTTATCAAGCTGGACCCAGATCGAAGCCTTTTTGATCAAGGAGTAAAAACAGATGGAACAGTGCAACTCAGCGTGCAAGTAATATCTAGGCAAGGTAAGCAGTTATTTTCATCTGTTGGACAGACAAATTAATATTGTAGCAGTGCTTGCGAGCAAACCTAATTCTCTACTACTTCTAGCTGCAAAATTGAGAAAATCCTTGAATGGTCACATAGCTTAAGAATGTCTCCTTCATTGTGTACTGTGGCTATAAGTAGTAGTAATTAAAATAAATGTCATGGACTGATGCTAATTCAAATGTTTTTTATAGTAACTTCATGTCAATTTTTAAGTTAAAAAAAAAAAAAAAAAACAAGCAAAAAAAAAAATCTAAACAAACCTGGGTCAATTAATGACAGTTACAGCATGAGAGTCTCATTAAGGGTGAGTAAATACTCATACCAGACCAAGTATCTAAGCAGGCAAAAGATTTTTGTTCAGGTAGGTGACAATTTCATCTCTGTAAAGTGTGTGAGCTTGTGTGCTCCATGAACAGTTTTCATTATGAGAGTATATGTAGCTAACTGAAAATTTGGTATTGAAAGGCTGAAATCACTGTCTGTTGTCTGTTTTCTCTGGATGAGGAGTCAGAGTAAACGGTTCTGGCAGAGGAGCATTAACCAGGTGGGTAGGGATTTGTGATGCATAGGTTTTATTTCTATTATCAGGCATGACAGTATTTTCCCTTGTGGAATCCTCAGGAATTAGTATCTTGAATGTTTTGCTTTTTGTCCTATTCTCCTTTTCCCCCTCTGTATGTGTTGAGTGGAAGGACTGCCACCACTCACTGAAGACAGCGTTCCTGGTGGGCTCTGGGGACAGCTACAGACGTTTGTTGCCATATATTCAGTGACAGATTCGTACTGGAGTAGGGTATCTTTGATTATCTGTTTTGAGTTATGTCAGCATTTCAGATTAGCAAAATTTAGGGAGCACACTTGGTTTTCAGTGTATATTGGACAGAAGAAAGCCTTTCTGTTTTGTATTAACAGTATTAAGTAAGACTGACAATTTGCGTTTGATGCTGTGTCGGGTGACTGGTGCTAGATTGAATTCTCAGTTTCCTGTATTTAACGGGGATTGAACTACCTTTCTGGTTTTAAAAACAGAGTAGAAATATCCTCCGGGGAACTGGAATAACTGCTCTTAATCCATGCCCAGTAGCTTATAGTATGCAGTGCTCAGACTTCCACTTTCAAAAGGATGCAGATGGTAAATATCTTCACTATTATCTTCCATTTTCTTCCTGTGGTTTTTTTTTTCTTCTTCAATGTAAAACTGAGGTGATTGACCCTATAGCACAAGAAGCTTCTGTTTTGTTTTGTTTGTGGGTTTTTCTTTTTTTTTGTTGTTGTTGCTGTTTGTGTTGGGGTTTTTTTGGTTGTTTTTTCTTTTTTGACCCTGTCCTTCCTTCTCTCACCCTGTCCTTAAAAGAAACACCTGAGTATTAAGTACTTTTGTGTAGCTTTAGCACGATCCTCAGTGTTGCTTTTCAGGCCATAATACTTGACACTTAAGCAACTGGTAAGAAAACTGTCTGCTGAAGGCAAGTAAAATGTGGCAGGAAAGAATATCGGAAAGCAAACAGCATGGATATAAGTAATAAAAGGAAGATATTTGGATCACTAACAGAGAAATGGACTTGTTACTCTGACTTCAGTGTCCCTTTCAGACAGAGGGGAAAAAATAGCTTCTTGTGCCATGTGCATATTTTTCTTATATGGATGAGGTATTGAAATATTCTTGATTTGCTTATTTTTATTTTTCCCCAACTTGTATAATATATATAATTCAGCTAGCAGTAATCAGTGGTGCTGATTCTTGTGATGGATTTGACTCTTATTTCTTAAGAGAAAAGCTGATATGTCAGTTCGTGTTCTGTCAGATCTTGATTAGCCATCTCTAAATTCAAAGGAATAAACACCAGCTGAATTAGTCCATTGTAGTTCTTTTATATCATTTCATACAAAGATATCTTAGTATAAGTTACAGCAGATAAAATATCAGTCCTGCTTATTCTTTTTACTAGAAGGACCATCCCGTCACTCCGCCTTGACATAATTCATTTCTTCTGGTTTGAAGAATTGAGATGTATATGGTTTTCCTGCCATTGTGGGAACAGCAATTTTGAGTGCAGCCCTGTTCTGTATTTCTCTGAACTAAGCCTCTTGCAAGTCGGTGGAGATCTGAGTAACTGTGGTGCATTATATGTCAAAGAATTTGAAAAAAGCTCTTAATTTTTAAGACCTCCATAGCAAATACTTTGGTCTCTTTTTTTTATCTTTTTTTTTTAATCCAGACACAAGTTATATCTGATCAAGTCTTTCTTCTGCTGGTCTGATTATAGATAATACCAGATTAACGTTTTGCCATCCTTAAACTGTTAAGGTCAATAGGTGTTTTTTTTGCTGGAGATATGATAAAATGGATTCTGACCCTATCTTTAGTTGCTTGCTTGCTTTTTTTTTTTTGGGGGGGGGCGTATGTGTGCATGTTTTGTTTTGCTTTTAATAAAGGAAACAGTTGGGGTGGGAGGGAAGGGAAGGTAAACTTTTCAGTTGTAAATTCCAGTGCTGGGTGTATGGCATAGGTTGAAGTATTTTTGGGGAAAACTTCAGAGGTGGGAGATCTGGCTGGCAGCCTGTCATCTGAAGGAGGCTTTTCTTGCTTTTTCTACTTCCTTAATCAACAGAGTAGAGGCAAGCCTGAATGGAAATACTTGCCACACTTTTTTCAGATGAACTGTGGGAGGCAGAGATACTATACTGAAGAGGCTAGAATGAGAACAGCAATCTCTGACAGTCATTGGTTTGAGCAATAGGGGGAGAGACACCTAAATTATAGAGGTGAACAATGTAGTTTTGCTTCTGTTTCTTGTTGTTTGCAAAGTATATGAATTTTAATAAGTCCAGTTAACCTGCCATTCAGGTCATTCACATACCACATACACAAACTTAAATGAGTCAAAGCTGTGCTTGTGAATGAAAGTGTCTGTAGCTGCTGTTTGTGGTGAGTTCAGTTCTCTCTGTTAATGCACATCCAAAGCACAGCTGCAAGATTAACATTTTCACAAACAGATGCTGTTCCACCTACTTTTTAAACACTTGACTGACATAAGAAGTTAGTGTCTAGCGTTTTTGAGAATTTCTGAGCACGTGTATGTAGCTGTACTGTAGATACACAGATTTTGAGACTAAGTGGTGGTTAAGCACAAAAGGTTCTTTGGATTAAGGTAGCTGAAGTCCAAGTTTTGTTTTAAGTGTGTAACTCCTCATTTGACTGGTTTCTAAACTGTTTTTTTTTGCAATAACTAGGCTTATTATTTTAGTATGCAAAGGAACGATTCATAAGTGTAATGAAACACAGTGATTTAGATTAAAGGTGCAGTTTGACTAATGTACTGTTTCTGGCTGTGGTTAATACTAGACATTTCAAGAAAAAAAAAAAAACAGGTTGCCTGTAGATCGGTCTTAACCCTAGTATATTCTCTAGCTTCAGACAATTATTAGTGAAGGGACTTGTAGTGGCAGCACCTGGGCATGTCTTGATAGCTAATGTCCTTGAGTTTTTGTACCATTTAATACTTCCAGGGTGTGCAGCTGACACATTGTGTTGAACAATTTACATGCTGTCCAAGGAAGACTGGACATCTGTTTTCTTGTGCACTAGGTAAAGAGAGAGATGTGAGAAGAGATGCAGACAAACTCTGTGAATTAATGTTGATCTAATGTTGCAGTAGGTTAGGTGGCAGACTGTTACTTCACAGCATTTTTACTTATAAGCTGATTCCTCTACAGAGACTCTTCACTTTGAGCTCCATGTTTGCATTATGGATAAGACAGTAGATTCACAGTTCTTTTGCCATTTAGTTATTTGACAGAGAGTGAATTATTTTGTTGAGCAATAGTGAACTGTTCCTCTCTAGAAGCCTTTCTCTCTACTTTTTTTTGAAGATCAAAAATAGAATCTTAACCCTTATTATTTCCTCTTACCAATTTCTATCTAACTTTAAAACAAGCCAGTGCTGTACATGTTAATCTGAGATGGCCTAGATAAAGCACTTACTCTAAGTTACTTGTTTGCTTTTTCTTCATGTTTGCTTCTTCATCTAATCAACCACTTAGTAGTTGTCTACATCTGTTTTCACTTTCTTAATTTCATACTGCTGTATGTTGTCTTTATAGTCTTTGTAGTGTTCTCTTTCTAATATTTTTCTCAAGCTGAATTCCTTTCAAAGTTTAGAGGAATATTTTTCTGAAGAAGACTTCGTTTGTTCTTTCTTGTACTACAGCTAAGTATTCCATTTATTTCCCCTTATAAACTGTGAACAGATTGTGGTTTTACCTTTTAAGATGGTCACCTACAGAACCTACCATCCCACATTGAGCTTTAAGGCAGATTAGATGGGAGGAACACAAAGTTATACCTCACAGCACAAGATACTGAAGTTATTCTGGCCACGTGATGTCCTGTGAATCCTACTTTCAATTGCCTAATGCTAGTCAAGGTTTTTGTCCTGGGTTGAGTGAATGGTGGAGTTTTTTTGGTGGCAGGGGAGGGGGCTATCGGGGCGGCCCCCTGTGAGAAGCTTCCCGAAGCTCCCCCAGCTCCAAGTCAGCTCCACTTCTGTTTGGGAAATTGAGCCAATCGGCTGCGCATCTGCGATAACGTATTTAAGAAGGAACGTGGTGACAGGCAGTGGGACTTGTGAGGAGGAGTTGCTGCAGCTGCGTGAACACGAAGGTCAGTGGAGGATCAGAGGAAGAAAGGAGGGGGGAGGTGTGCCGGAGCAGAGACTCCCCTGTATCCTGTGATGAGATGGCAGGACGGCCCCCCCCGCCACCCATGAAGATCTACGGTGGAGCAGACATTGATTTATGGCCTGTGGCTCCTGCTTGGCATAATCAAGGTGCTGTGCCTGAAGAAGGCCGGGGTCTCATGGGAAAAGGTAGCCCCACTGCTGTAATTCAGTGCTGGGAGGATTGCAGCATGCGGGGGAGTCCCACGCCAGAGCAGCTTTGGAAGGGCTGCAGCCGTGGGAGGGAATCCAGTCGGAGAAAGTTGGTGACCCACGATGGAGCAGTGTGGGGAACGCTGCGGCCCATGGGAGGAACTCATGTCAGAGAAAGTTTGTGGAGGACTGTCTCCTGTGAGAGGGGGACCACGATGGAGCAGGAGGAACAATTTCCAGACACTCCCCTCACCGAAGATAAAGGAAGTGGCAGCGCTGACTGCACCCCCCATTCCCTGCCCCTGTGCCACTGGGGGAGGAGGTAGAGATATCGGGAGCAGAGCTGAGCCCGGGAAGAAGGGAGGGGTGGGGGGAAGGTGTTCTCAAGATGTGGCAGTGCTTCTCACTGTCCTACTCTGTTATGTGTTGTTAGTGTCTGTAATAAATCTATGTTCTTTTTTTTCCTTCCCCTAACGAGTCTGCCTCTTGCTCGTGATCATAAAGGGGAAATTTTTCCCCATCCCAGTCCTATCTTGAACCCCAAGCCTGGCTCTCTGTCCCTTCTCATTGCCGGAGGGGAAGAGAGAGAGCCGCTGCATTGTGGTTGGCTGCTGACCAGGCCTAAACCACGACAATTTTCCAAATCGTAATAAAACGGCATTTTACAGGGTTTTGTTTTGTTTTGTTTTTTTAAATGTGAAAATATGTTTGATAAAAATCTCTTAAAGAAGTGTGGTTGTTAGTAGTTGTTAAAATTGAAATTATAGGTCACAAAAATTGAAATATTTTTTTTCCGTTTAGCATATTATAATGACAAGGAAAATCTTTGGTTCGGTATATTTCTTACAGATCAAAATACTTGTTCTTTATGCCCACATATTGAACATTCTGTTCATGATATGTGAAATGGATCATCTAAACAGAATGGGGATCTATAATACGGGGGCAGGAAAGAGAGACAGCTTTGTATTCACCTTACTGAAGTATATACTGTATAATAGAATATGTCTAATTTAGGACACTTCCAGAACCTTTATGCTTTTGTGTCATGCTTCTTTCCTAAGTATGCTAACACCTAGTAATCACAAAGCTTTAAAATAACGTTTTTGTTATGTTTGCATTTCGGTCTAAGTTTTGTGTTTAATCTTTCTGTACCTAGGGATAGAGCCCAAGTTAAACATCCTTGAAATTGTAAAGCCTGTGGAGACTGTGGAGGTGGTGATTGATCCAGATGCTCATCATGCAGAGGCTGAAGCTCACCTTGTTGAGGAAGCTCAAGTGATAACCTTGGATGGAACAAAGCATATTACAACAATTTCAGATGAAACTTCTGAACAAGTGACACGATGGGCTGCAGCATTGGAAGGCTACCGAAAGGAGCAGGAGCGCCTTGGCATACCCTATGGTAATAGCACATGACTCTGTGTGTGTGTGTGCGCGTGCAAGTGTTCAGATAGGGGATGGGTTCTTTTGTTTGTTTGGGGGATTGGTGTGTTTTCATAAATTATAATTAATTTTGGATATATAATTAAAGTGCTCCAGTACCTCAGAGAAGGCTTCTTATGGGTAAGTACAACATAAATTTCTGCGTAAGAGAAGTCTAAAGAGAAGGAGAATCACTGCTTGTAATAGTTTTATTAAAATAGTGCTTTTATTAAAATAGTGCTCCATAACCTTCTCGTTGTTGCAGTTTTTAGAAAGCACTTTAATTCTTCCTCCTCTCCTTAAAAATGCGTATGTTAGTGATAAATCTCTTTTTCATGTGGGTCTGAATTTGAACTAGACTAAGTACTTGGTGGGCGTTGCCTCTAAAGATATTGGAACATAGTACATAGGTTCTAGGATGATGAGTATGGTGTTAGATTTTGCATTGAAAGCCGTACGTGACTTCAATATACTGAGAAAAGATGGTTCAGAACTGAATATATGTGTTCAGGTTGATCATAATCTCTTTTGAATTAATGTTGTTACTTAGCAGGCTGCTAATTTAATGCTAGCTTAGAAGAAGCATCTTTGAATGAATGCCTGTTTAGGATTGAACTGAAACTGGGTTTTAAACCTACATCATGTTCAGGAGGTTATCCAGCTGAGTTGCTTGTTGTGACTTGCAGAAATGTATTGTCAAGGCATATTCAGCGCATGAAGCTGTAGTATCTAAGCAGACCTGCAAAACTGGAATATATTTGGAAGTGTTTACAAATTCAGGTGAAATCACAGGCCTTTGCAGGTCATGTAGCTTGCCAGTATTTTGAATATATTTTTGATAACTGAAGCAATGGCTTTTTCATGCCTTTTTGTTCTCATTGTCAAGCACTTCCAAAATAGTTTTCACAATGCTATGTCTATTGGTAATCAGGGATTTGACGCAGAATGTTTGAAAAAAAAAATAAAAATCTGAGGAGTTACCAGAAGCAGACTGGTATTTTTCAACATGCTCCCCCATTAATATAAGATGAAAATTACTTAAAACCGTGTCGTTGTTGTATTGAATAATGTTGTTAATAAAGCAGCAACCTTATTAAAATTTGAGAAACCCTGTAACCCACAGCTCTGACTTTAGAAGTTTAATGTCCTTTGTGTCTTGGGAGTACAGATTTTCCAGTAAAATCATACTAGTTTATCATGGCAGAGATCTCTGTATTAAGAACAATGGTGTTCTCTTGATATTAGAAAAATGTGCTGAACTGCCCTCCTAGAAATAATAAAATTGTAAATGTTATCTGAGTTGACATTGCAGGGACTTGGGTTGAAATAAGGCGCTAGAAGCTTCTGTGTTATGACACAGTTGGAAGTTTCTGAGAATAAAGAATGCTCTTAATGTTCTTACATAGTCCCTCAAAAAAGCCTTTTTTTCTTCCCCCCCAACTTTTATAATTAGACATCTTAAAAAACAGAAAAAGAGGCCAGGTTCTTTCAAAGAGTTGTGAGGCTTGGTTCTGTAATGTTCTCTAAAACAATTCCTTGAAGACAGGGTATGTTGACATTGAAAGTCAAGTCCAGTCAGTAAATAATCAACATCCAGAAAAGTAGTGGTTCTGTATCTTAATCCTTACAGGTTTCTCTGTTTTACTGCAAATGGAGAATTAGCTTTTCACAGGTCTTTAAAATGTTGTGGCTTTCTCTTTGTGTTATGTTTTGGTGGATTTTACTGGAGATGACATTCTTAGCTGTTAAAGGTATTTGTGCTAATAGAATCTGAAAATTTGGTACCATTGCAAAGGTCCCTTAGAAGAAGAAAAATATGAATTGGTATGAGAAATAAAGCCAGAAGAGGGAGCAGTAGGAAACTTCGAAACCTTGGAACTGGTTAGAGAAAGTAATGATTCGTGTTACCTGCAGATTATGTTCTGTCAATGAGAACAAATTATCAGCTTTTTGATGAAAATTCACTGCCGATAACATTTTGAAAACCAAAACCCTTTTGATATGGCTTTTCCCAAAGGTTTCCATTGAATGTTTTTAGGTAGCGTCAGTGAAAAATGATGTAATGTCACTGTCCTTTATTAAGCAAAATGGAATTCGTGGCTCCTAGATTATGTTTGTAGACTTAGAAAGCTTTGCTTCCTTTAATTCGTAAAATAAAAACTTGTCAAGGTGACATCTGTTTGGGGTATTGTAATTTAAAAATACATAATTGTTCTGCTCCTGTCCTTGAGACTGTGAAAGTAAATATCACTGCTTTTCCAGTTCATACTCACTGATACGTTTTAATATATAGCATACAACATTGATGAAGTTTTGAAGATGATGCTTAGAATTACCCATCTTCTTTCTATCTTGTTCACACTAATCCTGCTTGAAACAACAGACTTGTTATGTTAAAATGTGTTGAGTCGACAAGTCATGTATTGCGTATATCATGAGTTGATTCTTTATTAACGTTTCTATATGCTCTCTGCTGTGTGACTTATACTTTTGTGTGTTTGGCACGAGCATTTAAACAATGTGCATGATGTGTTATGTTGAAATGTCAAACAGGTATCCCAGAACATGATGCTATGGTTTGTTTGATTCAAATACAGGCTTGCATTGGGTCCTATTGTATAAACTCTTGGTTTAATGGTTTATTTACTGTGGTCTTTCTAGATGAGGTGTATTATGCTTTCTGTTTTATATTTTTATCTTGCTATATATAGTGCACGTTTATTAGCCCATCTGGGTGGTGGGTTGACCCCAGCTGGCAGGTGAGCTTCTGCCCAGTCACTTGCTCACTTCCCCTCCAGAGGCATGGGGAAAGAATCAAAAGGGCCAAAGCATATTTAAAAAAAAAAAAAAAAAAAAAAAGAATCAAGATAACAACAATTTAATAAGTTGTCCTGGCTGTGTCCCTTCCCATTTTCTTGTTCACCCCAGGCCTACTCACTGGGGTGGCCAAGTGAGGAACAGAGAAGGCCTTGTGTTGGAGGGCAGTACCCTCTGACCAGGTTTTTTTAGCTATTCTGTGCATGGAGGGTGTAATGTTTAATAACAAATTTACTTGAAGGTAGCTGATGTTACGTGGGATTTCTGATTTAGCAGAATAATACAAATTCTACTAAATCCACAATATAAACATAAGTTACACTTAGAAAAATACAGCAAGTGCAGTATACTCTTCAGTCACAATACCAACGTGACTCCCATAATCGCTCTCAATGTAGTATCTCACCAATGACTGTTGGGTGCCCTCACTTGCTGGGAAAGAATATGTGGGTTGAAACCATCTCAGGCCCATTACTCTCTTCCAAATTCTTTTGGTAGTTGCTTAGTTCGTGTGCTCTGTGTTGGGCTGAGCCACGTTTTCCCTTGCCCTATGCTGGTCTGACTGCCTCAGGGAGACATTTACACCACCAGTTGATTCACTGAGTTATTGATAGGTGTTTATCTAAAACAAAGGCCACCCTTGGCTTCCTTTTTGTTGAGTTAAAGCCAGCTGCTTTGCATTATTCTGAGAGCTGCATGGGCACTTCTCTCTTGCCCATCTCCTCTGAGCCTTCTTCCATTGTAGGAGAGTCATGTTCCACCCCTTGGGCTTTAGTCAATCACACCTGGACTGTGCAAGCGCTGTTCAGCAGTAGCTAAAACATCAGTATGCTACCAACACTGTTTTGATCACCAGCCTAGAACACAGGACTGTATGGACTGCTTAAAGAAAATTAACTCCATCCCAGCCAAACCCAGTAAGATGATGATTTTAAATAGAAACTGGGATAAAGTGAATGTGTTTAGAATGTAGTATTTCATTGTAATCACATAGTGATCAAAATATTTGAGGAAGAGCTTCCTGGTGTGAGAGAGACTACTCTGTTTTTAAACTAAAGACCTATGAAAAAAAAAAAAAATTATTTTCTGTGGTTGAGAAATGTCAGGTGTCCTGATGTAAAAGCTTTTGCTAAAGAAAATCTGTCTTTTGCCCTTTCCATCTCCCCACCAAGCAACAGTGCTCCATCATCATTTCAAGAGGAGTCAGCTTTCCATCCAGTCAGTTTTGGTCATGGTATCTACACTTCTTGATGTATGTTCTTTTATAAAAGTGATTGTATAATTGAAAACATACCGTTGCTAGAATAGCTGCACTGAATAGCAGCACTGACTGGCCTAGAAGCAGGCCCTTTTAAAAAAAGAAATAAATAGATAACAAGAACCCCTTAAATATAAAGTTTTTTAAAAGGCCTTCAGAAACAGTCAAGCAAAAAAATGAACTTTAGGCTACGCTTATTTGAATGCTGTGGATCAGAAGCCACTTGTACTTCATTCTTGTTAGCAGTTACAGTAAGGGCTAGCTCTCTGTCCTCACAGAGGAGGAACCTTGTAGCATATAATGGGGTGATTTGTGTTTTGTCTCTCTTTTCCCAGACCCAGTGCAGTGGTCGACAGACCAGGTGCTCCACTGGGTGGTGTGGGTGATGAAGGAGTTCAGCATGACTGACATTGACCTCAGTGCGCTCAGCATTCCTGGGCGGGAGCTCTGCAGCCTCAGTCAAGAAGACTTCTTCCAGCGTGTCCCACGGGGAGAAATCCTCTGGAGCCATTTGGAGCTTCTTCGAAAGTGTACGGGTGATTTTTCTGTAGCTGATTTAAGTTATTCTCCCTTCTCCCCCCCTGCTTTTTTTTTCTTTCTTTAAAAATGAAACCAATTGTGAGCAGTTGTTTCTCCTGTATTTAATATTGGCAGTAAAAATGAGGGCATCAATACAAGATAACAGGAGGTATTAGTGAGAATGGCTGCTGTTATAAAACATGTCTGCATACTAAACATTGCCCATCTTTTCGTCAAACCTCGTAACTAATAGGGAGGAAGTAGTGAATGATGATTCCTCCTTTGTTTTAATAAAGATTTTTAGTTTGTCCATCTCCTGAATTTGACGGTTTTATAATTAAATATTGATTGTGAGTTATTTAATGTATATCTCTCTGTCATAGAAGTGAAGATTATTAAGCATAGGCAATGAAATCTTTAGATTGTACACAGCACAACCAATAAGTGGTGTGTTTTGTGTGTATAATACAATAATGTATATGCTCATTTAAAATTTACTATGCTTGGATATAATTTGGCAGACTAAAGACTATTTCCATCCTCATATACATGATATAGCTAAAGGTGTTAGGAGATAGAGAATGCATAAGATACCTTGAAATTCACCATGTACGTCCTTATTTCTAAGAACTGAATGACAGACGTTAAGAGTCTCTACTCATAAGACCATGAGGTATGCATGTGTCTTGCAAACTGATAACAAATTTTAATTTTTTTCCTCCATGAAAGGTTTTGATCTTCAGGTGACTTGACATTTGTGGGTTAAATAAAAACTTGCTTTTTTTTTTCTTTTCACTGATTTGCAGATGTGTTGGCTAGCCAAGAACACACTGGAGAAATAGCAACTGTTACTATTGATCAGCGTAAGTACTTCTTTCTGCCAGCCGTTAAATCACCCAATTAACTGTTTGCAGGTTTAACACTGTTCTTTGGTTTAGCACTATAATAGTACACCATTTAGAAAATCACTCCAGAGAGAGTAGTTTTCTTTGGTGAGGGGAGGAGGGCATGTGTTAAACTTCGAAGCAAAATGTTGAGCTTCTTGATGTTTTGTTATTGGCTGAAAGGTGGTGTTTGACCTGAACTATGAAAGTTTCTAACTTTCATTTTGGATAGTAGATTTCCCCCTGTCTTGAAATAAGCTGTCTAAGATATATTTTTGAGGTCTTGAGTTGTTCTGTTTTTTTTAGGTTATATATTGCATTGATTAATAGATATATTAAAATGTTATGATTTCAAAAGAAAGCGTTTCCAAAAACTGAACAGGCGTGTGAAAGAGGACTTGCTTAGAAACCAATGCTAGGAAAAATACATTGAAGTAACTTTCCAGTTATTTGAAACTCATTCTTCCAGCTGAAGCAGCATCATCAATTATTAAAATGAATCCATGTTCAGAAGACTTGTAAGCAGCTTATATGTTATCTAGATAGGCCATGTATAGCATCCTCTTAGACCATTGCAATAGAAGGGTATTTAATTGCTGTTTGAATAGCAGGTATGGAGGGTTGTACAGTGACTATGGAGAAAACTACATTAGGGTAGATCAGATAGGAACAGCATAAAGTTGAAAACAAAGGCATGAAAGGTTTGGGGTTTTTTATGGAAACATGTAATACATATAGTAAACTAAAGCTGGTGTTTTACCTGTCATGTGTCATCTCTACTACAAGTCTAAAGCCACAGTTTCTACTATAAGAAGCAAAAAGTCTTTACATTATTCTTACTATTGTGACTTATACAGTGTGTCTTTTTAGCAAAGGAAAAAAAGAGCTCCTAGACGTTATGGTAATGCAGGTAATAAATAATATATGCCTATTTCTGTGCCAGCAATTTATAATTGATGTTTTGCAATGTTCTCTGCTTTACAGCTGTGCAGATTATTCCAGCATCTGTACAGCCTGCTACCCCAACCACCATTAAAGTAATAAACAGCAGTGCAAAAGCAGCTAAAGTACAGAGAGCTCCAAGGATCTCTGGGGAAGATAGAAGTTCCCCTGGGAACAGAACAGGTATCGTCTCCATTATTTTTAAATGCAAATGCAGTAAAGAGTTACTCATTAATTTGAAATACAGTTTTGTAGAACACATCTTTATCAGTCTCAGTGTGAGATTTGCAGAAGTCCATGTAGTATGAAGGGGACTGTAGCAACAAAATATATCACAAGCACATGCAGACCTGGCAGGTTTGTAGGCTCACCCTGGCACAATGTTAGCGTAGTGCTGCAGCTTTTGAGTCCTGCATCAAATAAAATGCATAAAATTGTTTCTGTCCCTTAACAGTCTGTCCTCTCAAACCACTGCACAGCATTTATTCACACTTTTAACTTCTTTCCACTTTTAATTTCCAGGAGAGGGAGAAAATAAACTGTATGTTGTAGAATCTTAGCCTAGCTACTACTTGCTCTCCTTGTTCCCCTCCTCTGCCCCACCTCTCCCCATGCTCTCAGTTTTGTGACTTTAGAATTTAGCAAGTTTCAGGTTTCTTGTTTTGTTAAATGAATGCACCTTCTGGAAAACTGCACACTAAATCTGTGATTTATTTTTGGAATTACTGTTATTTATACATACTCTTTGATTATTACTAATTCATCTTAATTTCTTTATCTTATTTTTTTCATACTGTCATTTTTTGCTTTGGTTCTCTCAATGGTTGTGAATTTTCCTATTAAATCCTTTCCTCTCCTTCCCCTTGAATTTTTAGTTGTTTTAAACTCTCCATAAAAGTCTGTTATGATGTCATTCAGTATTCTTAGGCCAGGATTTTATCAGCTAACATCAGTGGGGAATACTCTGTGTTTCTCCCTTTAGACATTAGGTCTGCTATCTGTATCCCATTGAAAATTTAAGAATTTAACTGCAGGTACTTGAGTTAAAAAGGAACCTTAATAATTGGACATAAAATGTGTTATATTGATGTAAGCTGAAGTTTGGGGTGTGTTTTTCTTCTATTTCTAATATATCATTAAAATTTGAGACTAAGCTACTTTTATAAAAACTTCTATTGCATATATCTATATAGTTATATAGATATACATATATGTATACACATACGTATATATGTGTGTGTGTTTATATGCCTGAAGAGGAACGATCAGCTCTTGCTAAATCTGCTATATTTTAGGGATAGATGTGTGTCTAAATGACTGTGTGTAGTGTTACATGATTATTTTTTTTTTAAGCTCTAGGGACAGATTTATGAGAAATCTTGTTATTTTTTTTTCTGTATTCATCAGCTTATTTTTTAATAGTTTAATACTGATGACTTTGGGAGAAAATGTTTAAAAAATATTAGAAGAAATTAATTAAGTGCAAGTTTTCCCTTCCATCTTATATTCTATGTTGGTTTGCTTCCATATGCTGGTTGAAAATTTTTAGCTCTGAGGAAAACATAAAAAGGACTAATTGAAATGGATCTTGTTACTCCTATTTCAACAGGAAACAATGGCCAGATCCAGTTGTGGCAGTTTTTATTAGAACTTCTCACTGACAAAGATGCTCGGGACTGTATTTCTTGGGTTGGTGATGAAGGAGAGTTTAAATTGAATCAACCTGAACTAGTTGCACAAAAATGGGGACAGCGCAAAAACAAACCCACAATGAACTATGAGAAGCTTAGTCGGGCTTTGAGGTAAGATTAACTTTAGGAACTGATCCGGTATGAAGTGATTTGTTTTCACTCGGCTACTTTATTTTTAACTATCATAATGCAAGACTTTCGGCTTTTTTAGTAAAGGGATAAACAGATCCTCTGAAGCTACTCCTTCCCCTCAGATCTTACTAGTTTTAGGAGCAAGGTATTTGTTGGATTTCTCTGGGGTTTTCTGTTTTTAAAACTAGTACAATAACTTCTTGAAAATATATTTTCTTTTTTCAGGATTATTGAACACTGACATGATAGTTAATATCGGTAGCTCACTTTTTGAAAATATATTTCTTTTTTGATGTATCTTCAGTATTTATTCTTTTAGTAGTGAGACTGACAATATTGATTATTGGTGAAAGGTACAGAAATATGTAAATACTTAGAATTATTGACTTATTTTTATATTTTACAGCTTACTGGTTCATGTTCTTCTTACTCTTGTTAAGGTATAAAGTGGATATGTTCCTATAATTACGTAATCATTAGTGGTTTTCCGTATGTTTTCTGTATGTAACAAAACTTTTTCTAAGTTCAGATATTCATTGATCCATTCCATTGTTCTTATGGTTAAGACTGAACTTCTAATTTCCTATTCCGATGGTTAAATCTATTTCTCTTGATTACTTTTCAAGAAAGGTATTTACAGCCTAATCCTGCAAATTATTTAAGCAGTTTTAGAAACTCTTTTTATATGAGTAAGTTGCATATTGGCTGAAGTCTGGGGTCTGATATTTACTTTTCAGCATTTCCACTTTGGGCTACATTATATTTTTTTAAAAGGAAGTAAACTCATCTATTTTACTAAACAAGTTTACTTGTTTAAAAAAAATAAAAACAAAAATCAACATCTATTTAAAAATACCTCTGTGAGAAATGATGGTAAAGTAACCATATTCTAGCTTTCTTTAGTCTTTTAGGGAGGATTTAAATAACATCAATATGCATAATGCTGAATGAGTGCTTTCACTGGGGGAGACTGAAGTCTAGAAGACCAGGACTGGCATAGAGTCAGTAAAGAATGACAGCTCATTTACATCAACAGGAGACATGAGAAGAAACTGGCAGCCTAACTACACCCTTTCGTCTGTCTTGTAACTTCTTTAGGCACAGTATTGTGGATGCCAGGATTATTTCATGAGTTTGAGAGGAAACTGGACAAATTAATGAAAAATAAATATTTTGAAGGATACTAGGTATGGAAAGATGCAACTTCCAAAAGTTCCTGAGCCCCAGATTATTGAAAGCGAGGAAGAGCATCGATACATGCTTGCTCTAATTCCATGCTTTTCCTTAAGTGTCCTCTTTTGGTCTGTTGGAGTCCATATCCTGTTCTAGGTAGATTTTTAGCCTGGTCTTGTATGGCTGTTCTTGCATTGCTTATATATTAAATTAGGATGCTACTTTTTCATAGGATCACAGAATCCCTTGGGTGGGAAGGGCCTCAGGAGGCCTCTGGTCCAACCTTCTGCCCAAAGCTGGACCTTTCCAGTAGAGCTGCTCCTCAGCCTGTATTGTTGCAATACTATTCCCATATTTCCAACCTGTTTTTGTGAATCTGTATGTTTGTGTACTGAAGGTATTTGTGAAAACTTTCAGGAGCATAAAAAATACATAAATGATGCTATTTGGGTGTGTGTGTGTGTGTGTCAAAAAACCCTTCAGAAGATCTCAAAGGCAGCTGAAGAACTTTAGAATAATGTTCTTATCACTGGGATATTAAACAGATGTCTGCACAGTAATTTGCATAAATCACTATTAGAGAAGTTTTGCATTTATATTTTATTCACAGAATTACAGAAATCACATTCTTCAAAATGTTGCCATTTTGGCAGCTGCATCAATATTGACATGTTTTCTAACACTTGAATGCCTGAAGGGATGTTTAATGCTGCTTGCTACTCCCATGATAAACACTGTTGCCAAGCTAAAGTTTTATTAAATGGTAGTATGTTTTATTTACCAATGTACTGAAATTACCATGTCAATTGTTGGTTAATAAAGAAAATTATGTTGATATTATTGAGAAATGTGCTAGCTCTTCTGCCCAGCTGTAGGAAGACCAGGCAGTATAGAAGCTAGGACAGGGTGAAAAATAGAAGAGCAGATTTTTTTGTTACATACGCCTTGATAAATTTTGTAAAATCAACATCTGTTTTGTTATCCAGTAGGGAAATAAGACTTGAAGAAAAATAATTCCTGTATTATTCTGAAGCAAAGCTTTCATGTGACTTGGAACATTCCAGTAACTACAGCTTTATAAACTTGCATATTTACTTACAGCTTTCTGTATTTTTGAATAAGCGGATAATTTAAAGAAATTTACTCAGTTTTGTAAGGCATCTTTCTAAAGCATTATTTTGAGACAGACGTTGTTGTACAATAATAAATGCTTGTACAGAGTTAAATAACTTTTAAAAAGAAACAAACAAAAAAACGCAAAAAACCCCCACTTGACCTATGCCATGGCCACATTTTACAAACTCTGGCTTTCTGCAGATGGTTCTTACTGACCCAGGTGAGCACAGCTCCCAGTTCCCCAGTTTCTCTATGTCCAGTACCCTGTCACATTCAGCACGAGTGCCTGCCTAGTGTTCCCACGCTCTAAACTATGCTGTGTTTCACACATGAGGGATACACCAGGATATACATCACTAATCTTTACCCAGTTCTGCCCTGTACTGCATGACTGGACAGAAACAAGCATCCCACCCTCTAGGTTACGTGGTTCATCCAACCAGTTGTAACAAAACCTCTCTGCCTCGCCGGGAGGCTGAATGTGATGGACACCACACAGACACAGATCCTTCAGCTGCTGCCAGGAAGATGCTGTGGAGGGTAGGGCTGGGGGGGGGAAGTGCTGCGTAGAGGTTAAGGACGAGCATAATGGTGGGGAGAAGGAAACAGAGGAGTTGAGGAAGGCGCAGGAGTTAGCTTGGGGGAGCGGAGGTAGAAGGACTGAAGAGGAAGCTTTTATATAACTATATGTCATTTGGGAAAAAGGTGAAGGAGGGGTTTGGCAAACCAACCAGACTTTACCCACAGAGCAATAGCAAGCTATTTAGACAGTTCTTGTACTCCATAACAGACTTCTGAGGCTTCTTGCACTGTATCAGTAGCCATCAGGCTTGCCAGCATTTTTTCTACATAGTCTGTCTCTCACCCTTTATTTGCTTTAGTCCTGTTGCTTAGATCCTGACCCTCAAAAGTAAGGAATTAAAAGGCTTTTTTCCAGAATTTGAGGTGTCTGAAGAAACATGGTTGGATTCTTATCTCTTTTCCACTAGAGCTGGGAGACAGAAGTTAGTCTTTTAATTGACTTAATTTTGCTGGTGGATGAGAATCATCTTTGCTTTACAAGCATGTCACTCAGAGGATTGAGACAGTCAAGAAATCTGGGCTCATTTGTACTATATTTGGGTGATGATTTTGAGGAAATTAAATTGTGTGGGGGTTTTTTTTGTTTTTTTTTTTTTTTTTTCAAATTTTTCACAAGCTTGTTAACCTTATCAAGTCCAAGTTATGTCCCAGCTGCTTAGGTTTTTTTGATGAGAAATGTGGCATGTTCTGTTAATGCCTGCAGTGAGACAAGAACAGCAAGAAAACTGTAAAATTTTAACTTCTGTTTTATGGGTAGCACCTAAAGTTTTATAATGTCTCTGGAGTACAGTGTGTCATACAGACTTTGTTATCTTTACTGAATTTCTGCCCAGTCTGATAATTCTTTTGTGACACAATGTAAAAAGTATTCATAGAGGAGTCACTTTTAGTTGTAAATAAAGGCAAAGGATGCCAGCATCTCAACTAAAAACAAAACAAAACAAAAACAAAGAAACAAACAAACCAAACACCATGCTTTTATAGTTTTACTTCCTTCTTTGAAAACAAAAGGCAGGGAATGGCTGCTTTAGTATCATAGAAACTACAATGTTATTTTTCACAGTGTTTCCAACATAAATTTTTTCCTCAGAAAAGCGGAGACAAGAGTAAGGAAAGCAAAGGACCATAATGAGGGGAGGAATATTTTCTTACTAAGGCAAAGCACTATAGAAAACTTATTGCACCCCAAGCTGTTTTTAAACTGCTCCAAGGCCTTCAGTTCTGAACTGGTGCTTCTGACTGCCTATAAAATAATTACTGTGTTTTGTGTCTCTTTAATGTATCAAGGTACAGGGACAATTTTCAACCCTTTCCCTTTTTCTCATATAAGAAAATGCCTAAACTGTATCTTGGTTTTGCAAGTATATGAGAATCTTGATGAGAAGAAGATTCATATTTTGGCCTCCAATTGACCTTAAGTAAATAATCAATGCATATGGAAGTTGCAGATGCTGAAAATTTACATGGATTTTTTTAATTTTATTTTTTTCTTTTTTTTCTTGTTTTGTTTTGTTTTTACAGGTATTACTATGATGGAGACATGATCTGCAAAGTTCAAGGCAAGAGATTTGTGTACAAATTTGTCTGCGACTTGAAAACTCTCATTGGATACAGTGCAGCAGAGTTGAATCGGTTGGTCACAGAATGTGAGCAGAAGAAACTAGCCAAGATGCAGCTCCATGGCATTGCACAACCAGTTACAGCAGTGGCTCTAGCTACAGCATCCCTGCAAACGGAGAAAGATAATTAAGCACTAGGACATGAAGGTGGGAGCCTAAGGCCTTTCCTACATAACCAGAGCAATTGTTGCTCTTACTTTATCAGAATTGGAAACTTCTTTTGCTTCTTGACAGTACAATATAGAGCATGATTTTCTGTAAAGAACTGGGACTCGCATAAATCTGGATCTTTTAACAGCATATATTTCAATATAAGTTAAGGGATCACCACAACTTCTGCAACTTTGAGTCAGGACCTCTATGGTATGCAATTTGAAATTGGTGAGAAAGGTTGAATTGGTTAGTGCTCCGTGTCCACAGCTGCATAAAGTAATTTTTGCAGCAATTTTTAAAAAAATGAAGTACCTACAGCAGGCAGGCTGATCAGCTGTCTGAACTCAGCTCTTTCCGGTCTTTTGTTCTCTGCTGAACTACCAAATGGCATTTGATGCTTTCAAAGTTAAACATGTTCATTATTCTCATTTAATCAAGCAGAGCTGAAAGGCACATTAAACATTACAAAGCATCAGGTTCTTAAAGTACCTTCTGTGTTCATAAGCAAAGGAAACTAAGACCAGACCGAACTGAAGATCAGTGCTGAAGAATGAGATCCAGGTTTAGATCTGGCTTGGGTGAAAAGCCAATTATGAGTATTTCATTGTAATGTGTAGATAATATGCATATATGAGGGCAAGTACTTACCTGTTTTGAAAGACATTGTTAACGCTAGCCATTTAGCAAAAAGCGAAGACAAACTTCTTCCCCCAGTACCACACCCCATCAGGTGATTTGAAAACTTGAAAAAATAGCCCTCACCCAAAGAGTAGTTTGTTTTGGTGGGGAGTTTTAATGCTCTATTCTACAAGGTGCTTATACCTACAGGGTAATAAACCTTAGTAACTGAAGACTTAAGTTAATCACAGTCAGTAGTCCCTGTCTAGAAACAAAATGCAAATTGAAAATAGTTTGACAGAGAACTGAAGTTTGATTTCCAAATTATTGTACAGTCTGACATTAAAATACAAAGATGTAGTTTTTATTTAATTCTTTTTGAACTTCAACTGATATTTTTGAAGCTTCACAGGCCAAATGTATGCTCCAGAGTTTGGGTGCAATTTGAAGGCTGGATGATGAATAGAAATACTTGGAATGTATCCTGAGTTCTGAGCTATGGAGAGTACTTCATGCAAAGATGCGTGCAGAAAAAAGTAGGCTGCAACTTTTGAGCTTCTATACTGATGCCTTTTAGACTGTTTCTTTTGATGGCTGGAAATGGTGCAATTTTGGGTTTGCTTTTGCCCCTTCATGTTATTAAACAGTATAAATATGTCACTGTGCATATTTTCCAACTTTTTATAAGTGAAACCCCATCTGGTAACACTTGAACTATTAAAATGCAAATTTATAAGGGAAAACCTTTAATTCTGTGGAGGATTGAATTACTCTTAAACCTTAAATAAAAAGTGCTGGTACATTGAGGTTCTAAACATAAAATGTGTTTATACCAACTAGCAAGAGCACTGGACTGTCGCTCTTGATCTGAAAAAGAATGGTCATACTTGCAGACCGAGAGCAAAGAACACAGAAGACTCATGTATATTTTGAAGATGCATTGAGGACAAAGCTTTTTGTTTATAGGTGGATGTTCATCTGCAGATAGTTCTTGCTTAACTGGAAATCTTGCATGTAGTTCTAGATTTTTTTATCATCACCATGATTATACTTTTTTTTTTTTCCAGATTCTTTCAGTAAATCTTAATATTGTTTTAATTCTTGAGCTGTTAAAGCACTTCATCTACTGAGCATGCTGGGTTTATTTTATTTTATTTTTCAAATCTTAAGCCCTGAGCAAAATACCTAAATGCATCTGTCAGAAGAGGTCAACCATCAATCCATTTATTCCTGTTACAGTAGTCTGATCCCACCAGCTGGTATGTGTTTGAGGTGACTTACGCAAATAGGTGCAGGTTTCAGGTTTGCTTACTAAGAATAAGATGAAGCTGGGAGTTTGGTGGCAGCAACTATGTGTATAATACCGTTCCATTACTGAGCAGAAGTCCAAATACAAGTCACTAATTTTATTTAACAGAATTGATGAGAGGCCTTTTTAGTTAAAATACAGTATGAAAAGAGGAGAAGCTTAAAATATCAGCTTTCTAGATCAAACTGGAGCGGGGGATGATAAACGAACAGCAAAATAGAAATCTACTATCGATACTTTATTCCCCGAATGTTCTTGCTACCTGATAAGCCCCCTAGGGGAAACTTCTGATATCACACACTTTCTTTGTAAATACATCCAATTATTATTTTGCAGCTTTTCAGTAGGTATGCTAGTCCTTTGGGTTCTTTGTTGTGGGATCATCTGCTTTTCCACCATGTTCCAATTAGTAAAGAAGGAATCTTTCAAATGGTATAAAATCACTGTCACATTCTCTGTAGTTGAGGGAGAAATCTGTGACTAACTTGATGTCTTCACTAAAATAAAAGATGTAGAATATATTGTCAAAGGTTGTTCTGTTGCTGCCAGAAGGAAAACATAGAATATTCCAAATTTTTTGTAAAACTGAAGGTTTTTTGCATACTTTTTAAATAAAGACACTTATACTCTGCTAATAACTATGTATTTCTTTTGTGTTTTGCATTTTTTTGGTAATTTTACATGAAACAATTATTTTCTATTTTTACTCTGATAAAATATTTGTGCATAAAATGTCAATATAGTAAAATAAAAATGTTATACAGCTAATGCCTGTTGACTTCTCAATTTTCCAGAAAATCATTTGTAGTGTCATTCAGGTGCAACCAGTTTAATGATTAATACATGCACTTTACTCTCATTACTCTTAAGATCACAAGCTCATTACAGGAAGAAGGCAGACCTTAAATTCTGAAGATGCATCTTCTTTGACTCAGTACTTGGCTATGTGTTTCTACTTTTAAACTGGAACTCAGTGCCCTTCATCATTGCAACAGCTTTAACATCTTAACTGTAAATTTCAAAATGGTGCCTTGATAAAAATTATGGAAACCTAATAGTAAGACAAAATGGAGCCCTGTAAAATAGGTTTATACTTTTAGCAGTGTTTAAATTTGAAAGGTTCATGTTGATCTGTAAACTTTGGACTTTGTTTCATTCTTGTAAAAAGCCCCATTTACTTTGTGGCCTGCTGATAAAATGGTTAATACTGTCCTTTTTAAAAAGAAGATAAAATTCTGAATATACTGTTATTACCTTATTTTTAAATTGTGTATCAATAGAAATATTCTCATTATACCTCTGAACATCTCCATCTGGACTGTCAAGTTAAAGACTGAAATATTTTGTCATCTGTAAACCTACCAGACCACTTGATTTCAAAATGTTTATGTTTAGCTCAGCTGCAACAGCATGTAATGGACTGCAAATAATTTTTTAGGACATTTCAATAATTTGTTCAGTGTCATGTTAATTGAGGACCTTTTGTTTTTTTGTCGTTATTAGTATCTTTATGCCAGTGAGAGTTTGTATTGGGATTCCTATTCTCAAACTGAAATTTTTGTTGGAACAATGACAGGAATTACAAACTAATAGTTTGCAATTACCAGTCTTAAACTAAATAAACTGACATGGGGCTCCATTGCCCAATAGTGAAAGAAGGATGATATAAGGTCCATTGACATTAGTTTATGGGAATTTTTTTTTTTTTAAGAAGCATGATATAAGATCCATGCTCACGGGTCTACAGGGAATATTTTTACTGTCTGGAGTGGTGAATTTTGTTTTTCAATATAATACACATTCTTAAAGGTTGTGGGTTTGATATAGCTATATCAGGACTTCTACAATTGATTTGGTTTGATAGCTACAATTTTTTCTCTTTTGGAAAAGTGATTCTTAACACAAATGATGCTAAACAGAAAATTGCTTAATAATTAAAGGAGAAGAATGTCTGAGTGGTTTTGAGAGTTGTAATGCAGAACCCAATATATTAGACATATGACTCAATTACATTTTGTATCATTATTTCAAGATTAGAGCCGACAGCATCTAATCAGGCACCAAACTGAAATTTTATCATCTTGTAATTTTAGAGTATTGACATCGCAGCTATTAATGATTTGAAACTAAGATTTAAAAATGCTGCAGAGGGAGAAACAAATATTGAGCGTCTGCCTTTAATCAAAATTGTTCTTTACTCACGGAACTGGTCTTCTGAAAACCAAAATTAAATGGTGCTAATGGCACCAGTACCAGAAGATGTATCTGTAACACATGAAACAGTTCTTGTTTGCCTGGAAAAACAGGAATTGGCTGTTGCGTTTGTGGTTTGTGACACACCATATCCAAGTAGGTTCTTGTAGGCTGTGTCACCGTAACTGGCTATGATGGGAAAGAAGGAATCCAAAGGTAATTATTTATTGATCATAGTTTTAAGCAACTTGCTTATGTGGCTAAGGAAAATAAAGGCAGTTTAGAAGAGAAGATAACTCTGTATCAGAAACAGCTGAAATCCTCATGTAAATAGTTGCCTCATGTTAGCAGAAACAGCTGAATCTACCTGCAGTGCCTTAGTTTTTAATGCCCAACAGTTCTTGACTTACAAAACAATTGCTGCACAGCAGATGGTAATAAAATCTCAGTTTATTTTTTATAGTCATTTTCAGGTTGCTGGCATTAAAATCATTGTTCAGAAACAGCAGGAAAAATGCTTGTTTAGTTCAGCACTGCTTTGCTGAGTGTGAAAACTTCAGACACATTTAATTTTGTCTGTTGAATAGCTGCAGGTATTTGCTACTAATGATCTAAATGATCTGGGAGTTTTAGTATGAAAAAAACTCATTGTCCATAATAGATTTTATATCTTCAGATGCAATTTTTTCTTCCCTTTGCAACTTACTGTGTAACCTAAACGGAATAAATTAGCATATAGGAGCCATATTTCTAGTCCTATGTGGGCTACATGTCAGAACTCACTAGTCAGAGTAGAATACCCCCATCTCAGTAGACCCCCTAAAATTATATAAATTATATTTAAATATGTAACATATATCAATTATAACTGAAGCGAGCATGGATGGCACTAAACAAACTGTTTCTTAGAAATTGGAAGATTTGTTGTTTATTTGAAATTCCTCCCAGTTAGGGAAAGGTATTTGAGGATGAAAAAGTGTTAGCTGTTCCCCCTTTCATCCCAGTAAGTTTGAAGTTTTCAATATTCTTATTTTCAAGGACTCTGCAGGAACTACATCATAGGAACTGAGTTTGCAAAAAGCTTCAGCTGCAGAAGACAATGAGAAACTAATATGTTTTAAAAAAAATAAATTTGTAAGAGTGAAAGGTGCAAACAGCATGCATGGAAAAAATCAGTCTGGAAGAGTGAGAGTGCAAGAGATGAGGTTTAATGAAATTAACTGGTGGGAAAGACACCAGCGGGGTGCAGTTCTTTAAACTGCAGGGTTAGGACAGAAAAGGTGTTAATTTTATATTTCTTTTCCCGTAAAAGGAAAGTTTTAGTCCAGAAACTCAAAGCAGCATTATTCCCGAAACAAAGCACGCTCCCTGTCTCCGGAGGCATGCCGACGTGTTGGGCTGTGCAGGGCCTGGCCCATGCGGAGCCCTCGCACCCGCCTGGGGATGGGGGTTTCCCAGCGGAGCTCAGCCATGGCCGGTGGCCGGTGGGGAGGCGAAACCGGAGTCTCTCCTGGCTCCTGCCCACTAGAAACAGCTGAGGGGGAGGCAGGACTGAGCGGGAAGCAGACCGGCTAACCATAAATTAGTAAAATGACCTGGACTGTACCCAGCAAGGAACTAGAAGCTGTAACAGGAGCTTGAACTTGCCCTCGGGGAATAATTCACCAGGCCTAAAGTCATCTCTATAAGAATGAAGAGAAAAAAAAATTCAGCTGAGAAATACTTTCAGTGTCGGGGGGGGGTTTATGGAGAGGAGATGTGTCTGTCTTTCCTGCTCTACCACCTCTTCAACCCATAGGCCAGTTACATCTAAGGGATTACAAACAATAAATGCTCAGGAGTTCTGTAAAACTGAAGAGCTGCGGAAGTGTGATCATGCTCAAATTGGTGTGCCCGGGTAGGAAAATAAAGCATAATTCAGCCTTTTTGCAACCAACAGTATGCTTTCATGGACTAGCTGCTTGATGAATTTTGCTCAACAGAAGCAGGAAAAGACAGAAGAGAGCTGTGATTCATAGGCATGTATGTGTTGGGATGGAAAGGACTCCAGTATTTTGGAAAACAAGTGTCCTGGTTTGGGCTGAAATAGAGTTAATATTCCTTTTTGGGAACTAGAATAGTGCTATGTTTTGGATTTAGCATTGGGTTTGGTATGAGAAGAATGCTGATAGCACACTGATGTTTTCAGCTGCTGCCGAGACTTCAAGGACTCTCCGACTCTCCGTGTCCTGCCCGTGCGCAAGGGCACAGGGAGCAGGGAGGGAGCACGGACAGAGCACTAGACCCAAATTGGCCAGTGAAATATTCCATATAATGAAACATCATGCTCACTATATAGAGGAGGGGTGGTCGGGAAGGGTCACTCTCGCTTCTGGGATTGCGATTGCGCGATCTTGGTATTTCGGGATCGCTAGCCGGGAACGGGCTGGGTATTGGTCAGTGGGTGGTGAGCAATTACATTGTGCATTGCCCGTTTATATTTTCTATTACTGTCATTGTTCTCATTTTATTACTATTATTAAACTGTTCCTATCTCAACCTGCGAGTCTCCCTTTACCCCTCCAATTCCCTCCCCCATTCCCAGGTTGGGGTGGGGAAAGGTGGGTGATTGGCTGCAGAATGGTTGGCTGCCAACCAGGCTCAAACCACAACAAGAAGTTTCAACGTTTTTTCATGGTTGTTTTTGAAATATTTTGTCAGAAAGAGAATAGTTCTTTGAGGATGGCTGATAACCAGCTAGAGTGCAGTACCAGACCAATAGCTGATTTATGATACTAAACTGAAAATATCAATATTAATTTCTGAAAACAGTTGTAAAAAACTTACAAAACTAGACAGATTTTTCCCTGGACCAGAAGGCGAGCTAGACGATGCTGGAAGGTAAAAAGGACAGACAGCCTTTGCCTGGATGCCGTGCTGGGGTAATCCAAGGGGCTTTGCACAGAACTGGAGTAAAACTGTCTTGTGTTGGGGGACTGAACAGGTCCTGACAGTAAAGTGCTGTGCAAGTTTACAAATATATACATATATATTGGAGGAGGTGTGTGTCTCTCTAGTTTTACTTGGTCAGTTGGTATTGTGCCATTTGGACTTCACTGTGCAGTAGACAAAGCTGACAAAGCTGAAACAGATGACTGCTTTTTTTTTTTTTTTTTTTTTTTTTTTTTAAAGACAGATATGGCTGAAGAGAACAAATTGAGAGAAGAAATAAAAACTTCTTTAGAGGTTCAGAGCTGCTCAGAAATATCATCTGTGAGGCTGGACGTGTTATTTAATAGACTGAATGTAAGTGCAGGTAGAGCACTGATATTGGCTGAAGATGCAGGCAAACCAGAGGGGAGGAAAACGGAGCCATCACTGTAAAATAAAAATGCAGGAAAGCAAAGAGACCTCTGACTCAGCCAAAGCAGCTCTGAGAAAAACACAGTGAGAGCTGTAGCTGCTG